TGAAAACTAATAGCATTAGTGTTTCAAATTGCTAATATATATATGCATTTGGAATGTACAACTAAAGTCATAACCACCATAACTATATTTAAGCACATAATCATCTAAGCTTCCTTTTTATCATCATATAAGCCTCAGGTGAGAAGCAGATTAAAGAAAATGAGTGTAGTCTGTGTCGAAGTGTTAGATGGTGCCACCATTGTTAGCTTTGTGGAAGATGAAGAAGCATTCAACGGTTCAATCCATGACCGCTTCACCTGTCTTGACACAGACCATGACGGACTCCTCTCCTATGCAGAGTTGTTGAAGGAGCTGCAGAGTCTCAGGGTGTTCGAGACCCACTTCGGTATTGATGTTAAGACCGAACAAGATGAGCTCTCCCGCGTGTAGACTTCCCTCTTCGTGCAGTTCGATCACGACTTGAATGGATCGGTGGATTTTGAGGAGTTCAAGGCAGAGACGAAGCAGATGATGCTCGCCATGCCAAACGGGCTAGGATTCTTGCCCGTCCAAATGGTCCTGGAAGAAGACAGCTTCCTCAAAAAGGCAGTTGAACGCAAGTGCTCCAGGATAGTTGCTGCTGAACTTGTTTAAATCAACTGAAGTGACCTGTTTTCCTTGCCTTTGTATTTTGAATTTTACATGAATAAGAAATGACTTCCGTGTTAATTTCCAGAGAAGCATGAAAAGTTGTTTACTCCAACTAAAGTCATAATATCTTAAATGAATTCGATTCGGTAATTTGATATATCGAATGGCCTTATATCTTAAATGAATTCCTAGTATCTTCAATGATGCTACAATCACAGAAATTCCCAATCAATAATCTGTTTTGTGAGTTGCTGATGTATTATTATTTATAATATAGCTTGAATTTGAATGAATTAATTATTATTTTTGTTTAAATTGAAGAACATGCATGGAGGAGATTTATTTATTTTCCCTCTCTCCATTCTCACTTTGCATATGATTTCAATTGTAAACCCTTGATTTTTTTTGCCCATTTGCCCTAAAACAGACACTAAAAAAAACCCTAATCAGCATATATATAATTGATTGTTGTGCTTTAACATTAACATATTCATTGGAGAACAAATTACGTCAATGTGTGTATATATGGGGACTTTCTCTCTCTACCCAACTTTTCTCTCGCCTCTCTCTGCCCTAGTAGCCGCCACTCCTCACCTTCACCCCCCTGCTTCCTCCCCACTCCCTCCCATGGGAGTGGGGAGGTCCCGATCCCGGCCACCCACTGATTAATAATATTGGTGTGCTGTACATAGCCTGTTTGGTGGGTGGATTCACGCCGTCTTTTGTTGTTTTTCCTCGCTGTCGTCGAAGTTTCATTGTAAGCAGCGTCTCTCACGTTTCATTGTGAGTTTTTGTTCTCAATCTCCTGATCTGCACCGTTTTCGAGGTTAAATGGTTGCTGGGTCGCCGGAGTTGGGTTTGTTTGTCTGCTCCTTTATGGAGCTTTTTGATATTTTGCGCTGGGAGTGGATCTGATGCATCTGTGTCCCTTGCCGATGTACGCCATATTTGGTTCTCTCGCCGGTGTGTTTGGTTCTCTCGCCGGTGTTTTTTTCTTTTGTTGTGGTGGTTTTCCTTCTATAGCTGCCACCTTTTCTTTGGCTTGTCAAGATTATTGATCTTGACTATAAGAGGTGTTAGTTAGTTTGGAATGGTGTTTTATGTGTTTTTTATCTTCTGTATCTGCCCGATGATCTTATTGTAAATGTCGTATGGCGTATGACATGTTTTCTTGCCAGGGTTAAAAAAAAAAAATGTGTATATATATATATACACACACCCATTAATAGTGAACAAAATCCTAATACACACACAAATACACACAAATAGGTCAATTCACACTGATACACACACAAATAAGTCCATTCACATTGGTACACATATGCGTATAGGACTTGGATCTCTAAGTTAAATATTCTCTAAGTTATCCTAAATTGAATTCGCTAAAGATTGATACGTGACATTTAAAATCAATCTAGGTATTAAACCACGTCAACTAATTTAAAGAAAGTTTCAAAACTGCACTGTTTTGAGATAAGAAAAATTTATCAAAGTTTAAAAACTACACTGTTTTGAATTCACCATACTCGGTTGAGATAACGAAAATTTACCAAAGTTTAAAAATTTCACTCGTAAAATTCATATATCTCCCTCATCTTTTCCAAAAAAATATCCTCTCTCTCCTCTTGCTCATTCTCACTATTGGGGGAATTTTTTTATTATCTTTTTTTCCTGAATGCGGTCTTTTATAAAAGAAAAATATGAACAATACAAGTGCATAAGGAGGTATACACGATTGGGGGAATATTTTGCGCCAAAAATGAATGGTCTTCGCTATGGAATTAAAATGGATAAAAATGTGATCAGAAAACATGCAACTTAATGATTGGAAATTAAATTCAAAACGGTACAATTTTTAAACATTGGTAAATTTTTCTTATTTCTAAAGAGTGCAGTTTTTAAATTTTCTTTGAATTTGTTGACGTGGAGCAGCAGATAGATTTTAAATGTCAAATCTGTAGCAAATTTAACTCAGAATAACTTAGAGAATATTTAACTTAAATGATCCAAGTCCCGCATATAATGCCCCGTTTAATTCTTTTATTGCAAGAACTATGTATGTACATATTTTTGGTAGCAATAGGCGATTTTTCTGGAGATTGATTCACATTTTAAATGCTGATCAATTGTTGGCTAGTATGTGTTTGTCTATCTATATGTGTGTGTATGTATATATATATTTATCTATGAATATATAAAGGTTAAAATAGTAATTTTAGAATTCAAATAAGCTAATTCACAAATCAAAAGGTATAAAAGTCCATTAACATTGTTAGGGTGTCAATGTTAACTTTAGCAAACTAAATGGGTGTAATTGTCCAAAAAATGGCCAAGTTTCATCTAATTGTCAATAAGGCAAATCACAGGGGGTGTCACTGTAATTAACTCTAATTAAAAGTATATATTTTAACCTAAGGCTCCGTATGTTTGGATGTAAAATATTTTTAAAAAAAATATTTTTTTTATTTTCTGGTTGTCGTAAAATATTTACAAAGAAAATAAATATTAAAATTTAACAAAAATAGCTTATCTAATCAATTTTCGGCAAGTTATTTTACATGTTCGGTTCGATGGATTCGACCTCAATCTCGATATAGACCTTTACCAAATACTGACAAAGTAAAAATAAATGAATATTTTACTATCCTTAAGATATAGACCTTTACCAAATACTGACAAAGTAAAAATAAATGAATATTTTACTATCCTTAACAGTGTCGCTCTCACACCCCGAGCGCGTTCCGGCTTTCAAGCTCCGCGCTCGCTTTCGATCAAATTCTCATTCGATCAAATTATCACTGCTTAAGACTTAATTATGTCGCTCTTATGCTTCCGCTATTAAATTTCTTTTCGCTCCCGTTTTATGTGACTTAAGTTTTAACGTATTTATTTTAGATTTAAATGCATTAAATATATATTGAAATATAGAACAAATGTACTAAAATAAATAAATTTAAGCATGTTTTAAAAAACTAATTAATGTACATTGATGGAGTGAAATTCTAATTTTTCAAATTAAAGGAGTTTTCCCGAATGAGATATGGAATTTTACTGTAAATTATCTTTTTATTCCTTAACTGCCCAGCAGACCTTCAAGTCTCTCTCTCCTCTCTCTCTCTCTCTCTCTCTCTAAAGCCTGCCCCTGGTCCGACTCAGCCGACGCCTCCTCCTTCCTTGACGCGGTCGACGAATTGGTCACCGCCAATCGTGGCCGCTGAGAAGTCCGTCGCCGCCTGGCCATTGGATCAAAACGTCGACGTAACAGACCCTCAAGTCTCTGTCTTCTCTCTCTAAAACCCTCTCCATCTGGTCCGATTCCGCCGACGCCTCCTTCTCCTTCCTCCACGCGGTCGACGAATTGCTCCGCCATTCGTGGCCGCTGAGAAGCCAATCGTAACCTGCGCCTCATACCGTGAGGGAGAAAATTCTTTTGAGGGGGATTTCTACCCAGTTTGAGAAGCATTTTAGGAAGACAATGAATGGGGATATTTGGGCCCACTTACTCACTTCCTCAAGCTCTCTCTGCTTGCTATCAATTCATTCTCCTTGCTGCGTGAACCCCTTGACTCTTTGCTTTGTGGGTCGTATGTGCTGTCCCTTTAATGAAAGGAGATCTTAGGAAAACGACTGAACCCTGGTCTGCAGATCAGTACTGTTTGGGATCGGTTAGGGATTTAATGCCTGAAATCGAAGTTCTGTTTTCAGATCAGTACTGTTTGGTTCTCAGAAATGAAGCGATGGCAATTTGGAGAAGATTAGGAAAAGCCATTAGAGGGATTTTATGGAGTTAGAGAATTCAATCCGCCGTGACCGGCAAAAGGCGACGTGATGAATTACCCTTGGAACAGGTCGTTGTCTGTTGAAATGGCTTTGATTATGGAGTTGTTGGAGAGCTGGGTAGTTGGGTCATTTTGCAACAATATAGAAGGGCAGTTTGAGGATTAAAAGATTGATGATCTAAAATTCCATGCCTAGCGCTTAAAAAAAACTCAATTAATTTAAAAAACTAGAATTTGACTTAATTTAGACCTTTAAAACGCTAATTTTTTTAAAATTATCCATAACAACAATCTATGGGTCCTCTTGTCCTTGACTAGAAACCATGGCGGTGAGCCCTTCACGCGTTGTATTGAGGAACTATTGGATCAGTTGTCTCGTTTTAATTATTACGAATATAATGGTTTTCACTAGTCAACTTCTAATGCAAATGACTTTCTAATAAGTCTAGTATTCTATACGGAGTAATTATTATTATTATTCTCCCCATAAGGGTCTATTATATAATTTTAAAACTATTCACTGGTCAACGTGGAAAGAATTATTCCACAATTAATTCCTCACAACTGGATAACAGAAACACGCACGGACGAGGGCTGCAATCTATTTTAGGCCCACTGATATTTGTTTCTGTGGATCATCCCGTTACCTTGTTTTATACCCATATACATGTTCAGAAAACTATGGCAGGGTCAAACACAAGCTGAAAAGTAGTAGCATTAGTGTTTCAAACAGCATACACATATGCAGTTGGAATGTATAACTAAAGTGAACCACCATAACTATATATATATATATATATATGAGCTTCCTTTTGATCATCATCATATAAGCCTCAGGTGAGAAGCAGGTTAAAGAAAATGAGTGTAGAAGTGTTAGATGGTGCCACCATTGTTAGCTTTGTGGAAGATGAAGAAGCATTCAACGGTTCAATCTATGACCGATTCACCTGCCTCGACACAGACCATGACGGCCTCCTCTCCTATGCAGAGTTGTTGAAGGAGCTGCAGAGTCTCAGGGTGTTCGAGACCCACTTCGGTATTGATGTTAAGACCGAACAAGATGAGCTCTCCCGCGTGTACACTTCCCTCTTCGTGCAGTTCGATCACGACTCGAATGGATCGGTGGATTTTGAGGAGTTCAAGGCAGAGACGAAGCAGATGATGCTCGCCATGGCAAACGGGCTAGGATTCTTGCCCGTCCAAATGGTCCTGGAAGAAGACAGCTTCCTCAAAAAGGCAGTTGAACGCGAGTCCTCCAAGATAGTTGCTGCTGAACTTGTTTAAATGACCTATATACATTCCTCTACATTGAATTCAATCTACTGCAAATGTTTGAATTTAAGTTTTACATGAATAAGAAATGACGTGTTAATTTCCAGAGAAGAATGCGAATTTTTTCGTTATTTCGTCAAATATTAAAACTAATCCTTACAACGGCTGTTTACTCCAAATTGTCACAAAAGCAATGACATCTCAGAAGTTGGAATGAATGAGAAAATGCTTTCACCAAATAGCTCAAACAAGGACGACAAAAGATGGCCAGAGTTCAGGTCATCCTTCCAAGCCTGAGCAAGGAAAGCCGACATCTTCAAAGACTGGTTGTCCCCCTTGTCTCTTCTACCTCTGCTACTAGAAATGTTGTCGTTCGGGTATTGTCGAAAAGATGAAGATGGCCCCACATCAGAATCAGATAAAGAAGCAGGAACACTTGTTTCTATCTGCATGTCAGATGTTGAGGAGTTGTTTGACAATGCAACCATTGGGCCATCCGTTGCAACTTTCTTCAAGGGAGGCTGCTGCTCCAACTGCTCGTCGCTTGCCTTGCGTTTATCTTGATGAATTAAAAAGAAAAAATAAGGACCGACCTGAATAAATTCTTTCTATTCCTTAGAAGGTATCATAATAAATCTCATTTAAACAATAATAACGAAGCCACCAAACATTGGTTAAATACTTCAATGTCTAAACTGCTGTAAGGCATATGAACAAAGTAAAATTGTACGTGTAGATGGTTTAACAGTTCATGAAACTCTTACCCAGTCTTCTGGTTATAACCCTTCCATTAACCCTCCAGACAGCATCTGTGGATGGGGGTGGTAAAGGGGGAAACATCTTGAGCCGATCATATACACATTGACCGGAAGCACGCTGAAAAGTGAGCAGCCTCGTCGTATCAATCACATACCTAGAAGACATCATACCATAAATTAATACAAGCAGTGTACTAATAGTATACTCACCAGCAAGGCCCCATAAACACGCCAAGCTTCATGCCGTTTCATCTCATTTTTTTGCTTCTCAAGAAGCATCTCTGGTTCAAGAAATTGCAGGTATGTTTCAAGATTTGGCAGTATAAGAAGGCGGACCTGCTCATGACTTGAGAAGCATCAGAAACTGCTTAAAATTTTATGTACAAATGAAAAAGATGTCACCACTTTCCTCCCCCAAGAAAAATTTGAACAAAAAGCACATATACTGATGTTAATCAGTACTTTATTCATGAGAACAAAGATACTGATGGAAATGATAGGAAACAAAGGCAATCATTACAAAATTTTCCATTACAAAATTTTCCATTCTTATTTCTGTAATTTGATGGTGGCAAAAGGAAAAGAGGAGAAGATACAGAAGAATTTTTTTTTTTAAGATATTCTCCTTTCAGGTTAAAATTATATTCCAAAGCTAGAGAGTTTTTGAGAGAAAAGAAGGAAGAAGGAAAAACACTTCAAAGTTTTAGAGTTGTACAAAATCTTGCACTATTGTTTTCCTTGGTACAACATGGGAGAAATTCAAAAACCACTTCCCTTCCTCTCTTCTTTCTCTCTATTATTACTCTTCTCCTCTTCTTCACTTGAATTGAAAATGGGTTCACTTAATATTAATGAATATCACAAGCAGGTTTGAACAATGTTCCTTACAACTAGCTTCCAAATAGACATTAACAGTTAGAATTATTATTCATGACAAGAGTATGAAAGCAGAAAATACCACATTAGGTCCTAGAGCCGCTAATCCTTGAATAGCACCATAGTGTTGTGTCAATGCCCGTTTTGGGTCCAAGAAAGCATGAAGCAATGTTTTTGTCAAACGTGTCTGGAGATTATTATAAACGTGTCCAAATCTGCAAAATGATAGAAATTAAATTCCAAGAGCAAAACATCAAATCTAAAGATAAGATTTCTGAATAGACACGAATGGCAAGTATATTTTCTTTCTTTTATAAGTAAAAGACATGTACCTGTGTTTTAAATGTGACAAACCCTAAATTTCCACTTTGGGGTGGCAGGAGATACCACTCAAGCTATGAAACACAGATATGAACACAAGACACAGGTATGACACAATATGTCACGGCGATACGCCAAGTCCCAAAAAAATAGGACACGGCCACAAAAGGGATCTAACAAGAAAATAATATTGTATATATATATATATATAATGATTTTCTCTTCTTTTTTTTCTTTTGATAAGTAAAAATCATTAATCCAATAACTAAGTTGGAGCTTAGAGTTGGATGGGTGTTGTTTCTAATTTCTAAATTTTATATTATTTTTAATTAACCCATTATATGTTCTAAAATTGCATTGGAACTCTATTACTTTTAAAATAATTACAAAATTGCCTCGTCATGTCCAACTATAAAATAAATACATAAATAAACAAATTCAAACTCAAAAACACTCCAAGCATTATCTGAATCCGCCACAGCACCCACTAGAGGAGTGCCTTTGCTTCCTAAGCTAACAGCTGATGGTACAAATGGCAAATATATATTAGAGCGCTATTTTTTTTTTTTTCTCTTTTTCGTTTTTCCCAAATCTCTCAAGGCTAATTTATGCAGTAGTCAGTAAACCAGTTAGGGAAGCATGTTGGTTGACTGAGTTTTGTCGGGTCAATTAAAGCATTTGTCTAATTCAGTCTTAACATATTTAGACAGTGGCATAAAGACCTCGAGTTGGTTCACCATTTGAACAAATTTTATTGTTTGGGTCACAAAAAGCAGTGTAGTTGCGCCAGATTTATTTGAACCGATCATGGCATAGGACAATTGACGGTTCAACGATCTGTTCATTCTGGAATTATATCACTGACAAAGATAAAATTTAAAATCTTGGCAAGTGAAGAAGTTCTTAAAACTTATGGACATTTGCACAAGGTCAAAAGCGAAATCACAATCAAGTATACTATATTAGATCTGTTATATTAAACTAATGCCCCGTTTGGTAGGAAGGAAGGACAAGGGGTATAGGAAAGATAGAAACAAAGGAACAGGCTTCCATAGTTTGGAAGAGTGGAGATCGGGTGGGAAGAAATGATGGATGAGCCATCGTTCCTAGCCCACCAAATTTGATCCATCCAAGAGTGGACGGAAGAGAGGAGAGGAGTAGCAAATCTATTATAAATTTATTTATTGACATTACTACCCTTCATAATTATCTGATATAACTAACCCCTATTACTACCTCGTACCTTCAAATGAGTACCATAGATATTGATGGATGTAATGGTAAATAGATTTTAAAACTCTCTCTTCCCTTCTCTCCTAACAAAGAAAGTAAGTTATTACCTTCCCTTTCCTTCCATTCAACCAAACAAAAAGAGGGAAAGTCACTATCCCTTCCCTAGGGATGCCTCGTGCATCCCTCTTTCTCTCCCTTCCATCCATGTCTTTCTTTCCTACCAAATGGAGCATAAGGCACTCACTTCCTCTGTATGCACAAAATAAAACAAATAGTCTCACCTTTTGCATATTGAAGCAACAAGGTTTGCCGTGAAGTCTCTAAGTTCCCAGTGGTTGTCTGCAAATCGATTCCCTAATCTTTTTGCAACAAGGCAGGTAACAACTGAAGGCATCAACTGGTGAAGCTGATAAAGAAAAGAATGCCTGATAAGATAGATATGGTAATTGGTGACAGAGTATATCAATTTTCTATTTTGTTTATTTATTATTTTTTAATGCTCTTATAGTTGGTATGTGAACTTTACTACTAAATTTGTTCACTTAAGCACATCTAGCTTGATCAAGCTTTAAAGTCAGGTATTGCTCACTGACTTGAGCCCTGAAGTTGACTCAGTTGAGCAGTATCAGATCGGCATCAGGAGATGCGCAAAGTTAAACTACATAAAAGGCAATTATAGAAGAGAAATTATGAAAATTTCATCAATATTACAGAACAGTTGAATAATCAATTACAAATGCAATCCCAAACTACAAAAAATGTGATGAGCTAAATAAATACAAATTAGTAACCATCCACATAATCTTCAATCCTCTGACCATCCTCATTATTCCCCTCAACCCCACTCTCATCTTCAATTCCCTTTTCAGAACATAACACCATGCTCGCATCCAATGTCAATTTTGAAGCCATTTTATAATATTGATTACAAATGAAAACCAACTATGAGAAATAATTGTCAACATTTGTTCACACTTCACAAACATAAGTTATAAACATTTTTCAACAAATATTACATTTATTCAACTTTATTTTAGTCTTATTTACCTTTATTTAATTTTTCTAAATAAACAAAAAATAATTCAAAAGATCAAATTCTCTAGGAAATACTAAACCAGAAAAGAAATTTGCTAGCGATTGATGCGCGTGTGTGTTTTCCTAAGTGATTGATGTGTGCTTTAAATAATATATTTTTTATATTTAATTAAAAAAATTGAACAAAGAAAATCATAAGTTAGGAAAAATTTAACATTTTTTTGAAAAGATTACAAATTGAAATTTGAAACTTGGTTCCATATCTTTATTACATAAACATATCATAGATCTATAATATTAATTGAAATTTAGTATAGCTTTTACTTATAAATGGATGGAAATTTCAACAATATATATATACACACATGCGCGCGCAGAGAGAGAGAGGGAGAGAGAGAGAACTTCAATAATCTACCTAAATCAAAATTAGACTACTAGGTTATACCTAGATCTAAGATTATAATTTCACATAATGATATTAGGTAAAAAAAAGTTGAAACAAAATCTTACCTGCACGTTTGATGGAAGAGAGTAGTAAAACCTAACCTAAAAGAAGGTTGATCAAAGCTTCAATCAAGATTTGGACTCAATGAATGAAAACAGAACCTTTATTTGGTTCTCAGCCTTATACAGTAAAAGAGAAAAGAAAGAGAATAGTGAAGAGAGAAACCAAAAAGGGTGTTTGGGTGGCTGACCAATCAGGATTTTGTGTCTAGTGAAAGACTTCCAATGCTGCAAATACATATCACAAGTCTCAGCTACGTCATTTGATATAAGCTATAAGTATCATTAGTTACTAAATTATTGGGAGAACATCGCACCAAATCATGATACTGTGTCAAAGTACAAGAATTTTTTTTTTTTTTGATTAGTATTGTACAAGATTTAAATTCCTCTATTATTCTCACTTATATATACAACAATACAGAGCAACTCTTTTTTGGTGTTCTCCACAGTACTCTTAAAACAACCATTCTTCTTTTCTTTAAATAAGTAAGAGGTAAATTTCACTTTCTGGCACGTCATCCATAACTAACATTACCAACATAATTCTGTCTTCAAAAACAAGAGACTGACAGAAGCTGATAATAATTAAAACAAAACCAAAGATTATGTAAGGTAATGAGAACAAATATGGCTGCATGCCAATCTCACCATCTAAAACTCAAAAATTTGGAAATCGGTAGTGAGTGCAAAAAATTATCAAATTGTTCCCAAGAGTACTTGCCTTTCTTTTTCTTTTTGATTAAAAAAAAAAAAAGTATGTCATATGCAAGAACAAAAGCAAATTTTTCCCTTTGGTTCTAGCACTCATAAACAATCGTGAGAAACCTTTTCAAATTCTTTTTAGCATTTTCAACTTGGTCACCAGATTCTCATTGAAATTCATTGTCACTCAAACTCCCAGCTTTGTATAGCATCTGTCAAATGAATTTCCTAGATTCCAAATCACAAACATCCAATATTCCAAATCATTATGAGCAGCTAATGACTAAAGTCACTGAACCATCCAATAGTGGTTAAAGTCAGAAATCCCAACCTGATGTGTGACATGCACACTCTAGTGTAGAACAGAACCTACTGATGGTCATCATAGACATGTTGCTTCAGGAACTAACATGTCAATATAGAACCTTCTGTATATGCACATAAAAAGATAAACCAAACAAATGACCAACGGACTTACATATGGTTCTATGTGTATGTGAGGATTCTGGAGAAGACTCAAAACAATACGCATCAAAGCAAACAGCAGAGGAAAATCACTCAAACCACGAGAAACCTGATATCATCGGGAAACAAAAATGTGAATGAACAAATAACTAAAAGAATTCAAATCTCAAATTTGTTTATGTTCAAAATGTAGCCTCAAAATACCTCATCTGCAATAAAGCATGTGAAATAAGGAATTAAAGGATGAAGTCCTGAGTCTGTGGCCAAGCTCACTAAAGCTTCTTTGAAAAGGTCTTCATTCGACCTACTCATAGTAAGCTCAGTGATTTTTTCAAAGTATAGCTGCATGGATAAAAGTAAGAATAATAGAATTAAATAGCAGAATGAAAGGGGGAAAAAATGTATTTAGGAAAAGAATGGTAAATCATATACCTGGAGCTCCCTAGATAACACGTGTTTAATGGGCAATTTAATGTCAAGAGGAAGTCCATCGTCCTTTTGCTCAGTTTTTTGGCTATCAGGAGGAGCAACAATAACTGTAAAATATGCACAATCAATTTAGCCCTCCAGCATTGGTGCTAGAGAAGGTAAAACTAAAGGTTTTCAAGTAGAGAATATTTCACTCAGATCTATCACTGGTGCTTGAAGATTAGAGCCATTTTTAAATTTGCGAATAAAAAGTCAATAATCATGATATTGAAGCCCAAATTTATTGTTTAATTTTCTCTTTCTTCTGATATTATTTCCAAAAAGAATTTAAAACTAAAAGTTTCTGATGCAAAATTTAGCATTGGAAATTCGGTCCTGCAGAAGAAAAAGGTATAATTTGTTTAATTCCAAAACCAAACACTTCACACAACTCAGACTGATCCCTGAACATCTTTTTTTTTTGTTTTTTTAATAGGGCCCTATACTAGTTTAATTAAAATATATTAAAAAGATTTACTTACCAAAAAAAAAAAATTATATTAACAAGTAAACTTCACAAAGCTAAAAAATAATCTCAATTTGGAATCTTTTAAGGTTTAATTTTGAAAATCCACATTTATAAATATATAATAAAAAGATATATATAACCCATATTTATTTTCTCTCTGTTTTACTATTTTGTAACTTTATAATTTTTTGTCCATTTATATCTTTATATTATATTTGCCCAATTAGACAAATTTATGCATGGATTATGAAATACTTTTTATTTATACATTTTTTATCATAGTCTTTTTTGTTATTATTATTATTATTATTATTATGAAGAATCAAAGATACAGAAGGCTTCTATCTAAAGAATAATATATTATAATTTATTTCTATATTTTCTAAATTTTATTTTCATCCATTAGTTCGGCCCCGCAATTATAAGTTTCTGGATCCACCCCGGCACCCTACCACACATACTTACATAAACCTTAAGTGGGGCCAAAAACCATCAGAATGACTTAACTTCTATTCCATCATTACTTGTATATAAGCAGATTATTAAAATTTCGGACTATTCTACATACTACGTCTGCATGAGTTGAAGTATTAAACTATGCAGAATCTGAATGTGAGCAAACTAATGTTGGTAATACTCCTAACATTATAGACAGACCTTCAACAGGAGCATTTTCAGGAATCGCTGGTTGTACACCTTCAATAGCTAGCCAGTGACAAACAATTGAAGTATCAAGTGGTGCTTTTGGTAGAGGAGTTTCAATCACCTAGATATCAATAAATAAATATAAAAACAATGAAGTGCTCAAATTTAATAAGATGGAGCATTGGCATAATAAGCAATTTCTTACATCTTTAAAATCTACATCTTTGTCATCAACATAAAACAAATCCTTGTGTCCGACAGCTCTTCTGAACCGCAAAGGATCCCCAGAGGTGAAGCCATAAATTGGCTGAGGTGACAAAGTTACTGAATTAGATTAGAAAAGATGAACTTTACTAAATCAACAAAACTGGAACTGGAAGTGTATCTTTTGTTCTTTTTTGGTAACTATCAGAAAGAAGTACTACGCATCTTTTTTATTTTTTTTCCCCAACAAAAAAAAAAAATATATATATATATATATATATATAAAGAAACAAAGAGAGAGAGAGAGAGAAGACACTTCCAGAGTTCCACATAAGAAGTTCATTTTATTACATAGGATTCATCAATCAACCTTCTCTATTGATGCATAAAGCAGTGGCAAAGCAGAATTTTTTTTTTTGTTTCATTTGTCCATATTCTTAATCATGCACTCGGAGAAGAGCCATGCACAGATGAAAATAAAATAATCAACATTGCTCTCATAACCAATGGCTGCCTAAAATTTAAGTACAGAAAATACCTGACAAATAAACAAGACATTCGTTAAACAGTTTTTCCGAACCAAACGCCTCTCCAACTGCTTACTTGCTAACAAGACTTCTTATTTTCTATGGAAGCCTATTTTATAGACAAATTATTAATAATAAACGTGTTTCATTCTCTTCGGTTGCACATACCAACATGTTACAAAATCGAAGGAGTAACGAGTGAAATATCATAGACGCTAAATTTTTTTTATTGTGACATATTCTTCTTTTCGTTTCTTTTGCTAGGTGAGCATTGTGTTGTTAGGAACACAAAAATACAATTCTTTGAGGGCACATCTCCTCAATAGACAAAAATAATGAAATATGAACAAGACCTCAACCCACAAACCCCTTATATGATGTTGTCAGTGATATTTTTCTTGCTTCTTGATTTGCTTTTCACATGGTTCTTTGCAACTTATTGATCCACAATCTGTCATTCAAATTTGCGAGTGATTGTTAAGTTTCCTCTACATTTGCTTCAATGTGAAATAGTTCCTAAAAGGTTAAATGGGAAATTTTCTTATGTCGGTTGGTCCAATTATATTGAAGAAAGATCTTTTACAGTGCGGATTAGAAAAAACAGATCAAAATTCTTCAACTATCTTCCAGAAATTCTCTTGACATCTGAAATTTACAATTTTTCCCTATAAACATCAGAATTTAACTTAATTACTTTGCTAATTACAAAGACTTTATGCTTAATAAAATCGAGGAATAAACTTGTTTCATTAACATGTCAACACCTCCAACTATGCCTTGTTTCAGTCAATCTTCTTAGAACATGGTTTGTGTCAGGATTCATGAAGTGAATTACAACCAGAAAATATGGTTATATTACAAGTCTCATTGGTCATTAGCCAAATGATTAGAAGATTCACATGTTAATTTAGCACATTTGACAAAGAGGCTTTTCTCGGGAACAATGCATAAAAAATGTATATAAGAATTTTCACTTTTAATCAGTATCTGAAGATTAATCCAAAATACTATCGTCCTTGTATTTCCTTGACCCTGCAATACCAAGGTCAAATGAACTATATATGGAAAATCCTTCACAATGTACCAAATCGTTATATAACGAAAAAATATATATGTCCTCGCATTGGAAGTTTACACTACACATAAGTAACTGTAAGGCCATACCATTAAATGTTCTTGAATTGGAAGTATACCTCAACATTTCTTAGGCTGAGTGCACTATCAACATCATCTGTTGTCAATGTAGTTCTCTTTGAATGACGCATGCATTTGATTGCTTCCTGTAGTTTCATAACAAGAGCTCCTATTAGGTCATTAATTATCTTGATCTCCTTAAAAATACTCTGCTTCTACTTCAGAAAAACTCCTCATTATCATACCAGAAATTAAAAGAGAAAACAAAAAAAAAAAAACTCTCATCATCCCACTACCGTACCCAGTAATTTGATCTAGAAACTTATTCCAGACAGCATAGCAATACAACATAAAAGAAATAAACAATTAAGCAGGCCCATATTTTACAATATTTCACAAACTAGTTTTACCTGCATTATCTCACGCATACGATATTCCACATCAGAAGCAAGAGCAAGTGCAACATCTGAAGACAAGTTATTAATCCCGATGCTTTGTGCTATGACCTCGACCGTCTCCTTAGGCACAATACTCATTTTCTTCTCTCTAGCAATATTCATGAACACAGCGCATCAAATATCAACACAATTCTATTATGGAATACAACAATCTTTAAAAAAAACCACAAATTTATGCAAATCCAAAAACTATCCATCCTCCCTTCTTTTGACTTCTCTTAATTATAAATGAATTCCACTACGCATGAGTTACAACTCCCCAGGCTTTGAGTATTGAGTTACCATTAGTTTGTGACATAACTCCACTACATCTAAGGAGGTCACCAAACTTCATCCTTTTATATGAATGGGAAAATGTTTGAAAATGAAAGCCAAGAAAAGTATTTTATAGGGTAAAATGGAAACAAAAAAATTCACATTCAATCTTATATCTCCAAAGTAAAAGTTACATTTGAACTTGCACTTCTATTTATGGACGGGGCTTAAATCTAATTACAGTCGTATTTGTCATATATCCGATGCAGTAAGAGAATCTCATTACATCCCAGGGTCCATAAAGTTTCTTTCAAATAGAAGATCCAATTTGTCAGAAATGTGCACTTGCAAAGAGACTAGGATAGCTAGAATATGAATAACTAAGATGAGTAAGAATGTACCTTTTTGCAGTAAAAGATTATCTCACTTTAATAATGCTTTTAGAATATTTATATCTAGTGGAACCCATTAGTGTTGACTTTCAGTGTTAAACACAGCATGCGCTTAGGAAACTTAAATAATCCAAATTTTAATATAATCTATAAAAAATAAAAAAATAAATTGAAAAAAAGAAGACGGTAGGTCTATTTAAAACTAGATCCCCAAAAAAAACCTTCAAATCAAGATAAACATTTCAAAAGAATTCCACATCAATTTTCAATATTCGGGGGTCTAGAATTATCTTACACTTGTGTTTCCCTGTACAACCAACTAACTCAACAACACTGGCAGAAAAGCAATTATTTGGTGAAGTTATGGCAAAAAAAAGTATAAATTGAAAAGACAATGAACCAATATTAAACAAAAAAATCAATTTTAAACCAAAATCAAAAGCAAGATATATCAACTTGGTACATATGAAACATAAAGTAAAACTTGAAAGCTTAAAATACAAAACCATTTAACCTTCTAATATTTTAAATTATGAGTATAATGTAAAGCACGTCTATATAGGGCCTTGTTTCTCTAGCCGAAAACAATATATCTGAAAATTTACTTTTTATTTTATTTTTTTTAATAGAAGTACATTGAAAAGGGCCAAAGGACCCAAACATAAGGACACAAAAAATATAGAAGAGAGATCCCCAAAGACAAAGAAACAAATGTCTAGAAGACATATCGTATACAAGTAGAGCCAAAACTCCTCCTCGAGATCAGTAAGGACAAAGAGCTAATTACAACATGCTTCAATTTACAAGGGAAGTTCCTCTCTTTCAAACATGTCTCTGTTCTTCTCCTTCCAAACAAACCACCCAGACATAAAGGGGAGCCCACCACATGGGTTTAGCCTTTACTATCCTAGCCCCCACCCAGGTCTCCAAATACCATTCTCTGACCTTGGGACTAGCCACTGCTACACAAGCACACTAAAAGAGAGGCCATAGCTCTCTAGCCACTAGATGATGCACCAAAAATGGTTGTCTGTCCTTTGTGTTCTTGTACAAACACCACCAAGTTAGGAGCATTTACCCCTCTTGTTCATGTTATGAATGATCAGAAATCAATAACAGACCAATGTCCCAGCAACAATGCCTGTCTTGGAAGAAACTTTTGCTAAATAAAAAAAAAATACTTTTCCTAAAAAGAAGCTATCACCTCCCCCCCTCTTCTCCCAGCACCTAATAAAAAGAGTTCGCCTCAATCTCCCACTCCTCGAGGCCATCCACCGAAACTAGTCATACCCATTACTTATGCTCTGAAGCCATACAAAAGCTCAAAGAAAGTGGAAACAGCTTCAAGCTCCCAATTCTACATAGTTCTATGAAAATATATATATTCCTGAATGCACCAATGTCTTTCATACAACACCCCTCACAAATGTGAAATGCTTGTGCAGAGAAAACTTGAAGAGTTCGGGTAAACATTCCTTAAGGGGATATTCTCTGCACCAAACATCATTGCTGAATCTAGCACTGCTTTTATAATATAACTACCATGTTTGGGAAACCCATCTCGCACGCTTTCTTGATGACTCTGCATACACCCATCCCATAATAGCTCCTCACTTGTGAAGAGCTCCACCTTCCCCTGGCAACTCCATACTTCCTATACCACTCATATCCAAAAAAACATCTCCATTATTTGAAACTATCCATAACCACTTTCCCAATACCACCAGATTGAACAAACCCCAGATCCTTTTTTCCTTTTTTTTACCTTAATTGCTCAAAATCAGCAGAGACGAAAGCTAACATACAAGTCCTTATCTTTTATCGGTTTGTTCCTCAATAAAACAAAAGAAATAATAAATAAAATGCAAAAAATCAGTTTTAAATTAGGGATGTACAATTCATTGAATGAGTGAAGAAAGTGAACTTTCTCGTTTTCCAGAGAACATCAGATTGTAAGACTTCAAACCCGATTTTTCTTTACTTCTCCTAAAAAATTCTCGTAACCAAACAGCTCCAAAGGTCTCATGAGTAAAAAAATTTAGAGGAAGCATTTTGTCGAACAATAGTGGGTTGTTTCATGTTACACCATATCTAGACATATTTCTAAATTTTAGAAAAATTTAGAGAGAGAGAGATTTACCTCAACTGTGTTTATTCGCCGGAGAAAGTCGTCACCAAGTGGTGGCTGAACTCTGTGACTGAAGAAGTACTGATTCGAAGACACCCAATACCACAAAAGAGGGCTTATTCAATCATTATTGGAATTATTATTATTAACTAAACCAATTACGCCATGTAATTGATCCGGTCCGATAATAAATAGGGCTCCAACATAATATAATATCATAATATAATTATAGTATCAAATTGTTTGAACATAACATTCAAAAAAAAATTGTTTTTTCAACATCATTTTTCTTCTTATTTCTTTTGTATATTCTTTCTTACTCTTTTTTTTCAATTATTATTATTTTTTTTTTTATAAGTCAATTATTTTTTTATTTTTTAATCATTATTTTGGTGATCTGATATTAAATTAATTTAATAAAAATTTACACCCTTAACAAAATCGATTATCAGATTGGATATCTAAATAGAAACAAATTGGATGTATGAATATAAAGAAATTGAGTATGAATTATTAATAAATAATATGCCAAGTAATTAGATTGGATCCTCGTCCCAACATTATTCGTCATGTAATTATACTTATATTATAATATAATTATAATTACTTAGTATATTATAAGTACTTTTATTTATTTTATTCTGAAAAAAATCATCTCTGAGATTATTTTGCAAAGACAATTACTAAAATACCCACCAACTCAAGGGGTTGCATATTTTATCTTTTGCATTTTTGTTTACTTATATTATTTATATCTTATATATACCATATTTATATTATATATTATTGATTTTATAATTATATGAGATGGACATTGATCAAACAATTAGCAAATCTTAATTACAAAAAGTAATTAAATGACATGCAATGGTTATTAATGTTATATAATGCAATTTTTTTGATATTTTTTTAAAATTAAAAGTTTGATTATGAATGTAACATAATTATAAGTTCAAATCTTATTATTCAAAAAAGGAATTTTTTTTTTTTTTTTTTTTAAAACTAAATTTATGAAACGGACAAATTGAATAAATAACTGGGTTTGTATTTGTCCCTCCCTCTAAGTCGCAACTTTTCGCAATAATAATAAAAATAAATTAATGCAAAACTTTACAAGTCGACAAGAGTTTAATGCAATTCACACTAACTACAATGATTTCCAATGAATTGAAGAGAATTGCCGGTCAATAGTTCAAATATTCCTTCCTCAAATTTTTCTTTCCCTTACAAATTGGAATCGAAAATCAGTATCAACCTCAGCTTACTGGTCGTGTATTATTTGAACATGTTTACCTTCAACAATATGGATGTACAACTCCCACCAAAGAAAATAAATATATGGATGTACAACAAAATGCCAGCATATATCTTTTGATAGTAGATGACACAAATCAAAGTCAGCCACTTCAACCTTAAAAAAAATAAATAAAAATAAAAAAATGGGGTTGATAGGAAGAGGGTCACTCCCAAAATTGATCACCATATCATGAAAATTATCCCAAGATGTCCCTTGTCAAAGACATCCCAACTGGATAAGGCCTATGAATTCTCATTTTCACAGTTGAGACACTCTTGGCAGGAACGTCAACAAGATCATTCTTTTTTGTGCTTACTATTGATTTCTCTGTTGCGCTCAACTCGTTGGTATCAGCAATGAACTGAAGCCCCTGAAACATCATTTACGGACAATGTCAGCTGTAAAATGGGGATAAAATTTGAGGCAAGAAAATGAGTGGAGACTCCAGGCCACTCAACCTACCTTCAGGAAATTATCTTCATATGCCACAGTTGAATGGTTTATTAGCTTAGCAGCCTCAACATCCTGTCAAAGTCACAAGAAAGACGAGCTCAATATGCAAAAGATAGATGAAGATCCACGACAATCTAAATTCTGGTCCATCATAACTTCACGAAACAAGAATAACACCAGTATCTCTAATATGCACATTTTGGGCAAACAAGTAGTGAGATCGGGCTCAAACTGATGCCTAAAACATCTTTTGAGCAAGGTCCATCCTGATTTGATGAACAAAAATATTTATCCAATTAAACATTATTTATACACCGGATCTCCTGGTCAGATAGAAAGAAGACAAGTGCTGGAGTGAAATGATTGAGGAAATGTAACCAGATATTCTTGCTGTTTGATATATTCTGTTGCTTTTTTTTTACTAAATCAAAATATAGAACCAGAAGGGGATTGTTTGGGGTAAAAAAAGCCAAGCAACCTAAAAAAAATAAGCTTCATTATTGTTGACAATTAGAATCTACCAAGGCCCATTCATCAGTAATCCCTGAACCAGTGTGCAAGGGATTACTCTCCCCCAATGAGGCATAAAATAAAAGTATATAGTAGAATAAATTACCTGAAAAAGTTTGGCGTTTAGACCATCCTTAATGCCTCCAGCTATTTGACATAGACGCCACACATTTGAATTAGTCACATCCTGTAAAGCATAGGGAACAAAAGAACTTCGTAATTAATAATGCAATCAATAACATAGCATAGAGGAGGTATGCATGTTTATCACAGAATCAAAGATTTGACCTGCTTGCTTTCAAGAAGATCAATTTTTCCTTCCTGTTTAATAGATTAACAGTACAAAATCAGTAAAACACTCGTCCCAATTTAGAATGTTAAGCAAAAAATAAATATTTTAATGACTCACCAACCCAGATACCATCTGATGGATTATGTCAATGTCATACCCAATTTGATTAAGATTTGACTTCACATCATTTACCTGCATACAAGCCAAGGCAAATGGATATAAAGTATAAAATAGTAATACCAACAAAAAGAGAGGTGCACCAAGGCAAGTTATTCCATCATCAATTTCCTCTTCTCTTGAGTAATGTTGAATGCTAACCCAATTTCAGCTGGCATTGGTGATATAAATGCATTTAAGAAACACATATAAGAATGCTAATGACTTTTAAACTCAATATGAAAAGAAAAGGAAAAAAACAAGAAATATGGGAAATTTTAGTTTCCCTCCAGTTCATTCCACATTAACACAGCCAAATCATTTCTTGTCCACTATTCATGTCAATCTTCGTAACTTATCTTTTGATTGGGGGATCCACAAAAGTCATCTGTTTTCTGTTTCTCTTTTTCTTTTTCTTTTACATAAATACAAAATACATAAAGAAAAGAGCCAAAAGGGGAGCACTCTAGCACAGGTCTTGTGTTAGAGGTTTGTTCCACATCGGATCAGGATGGGAAATGTAATGGGTATAAATGGGGTGGTGTTAGCCCCATCTAGCAGCTTAAGCTTTTGGGTGTTACAATTGGAATCAGAACCAGACCCAATCCTTGATCCGATGTCACACCAAGCGCCCGGCCAGAAGGTGTTCGGGCCCCCCAACAAAGCAAAAGAAGATGATTCAGTCTCCTCCAATCTCCTATACATGCAACACCAACCGGACAAATTTTATCCCCCCTTATCAAATTATCAATTCTAACCATCTTCTCCAAGAGGCCATTCTAGAATACAACAAAAAAACAACCACCAAAACCTTTGGAAGGCACTTTGGACCTTCAAATGCCTATCAAAGTAATAGATCTGGCTTACTTGGAACAGTCTTTCATGAAATGATTTACCAGAAAGACACCACTACCATTAGCCAGTTACCTCATAGTATCCTGCTGTTCTCCAGGATACTTTTTAACAGTAACACTATAGAGAACTTGAAATACACCTCCAAAAGGGGGTATCCCGACACCACATATCATGCCAAAAAATGGATATTGACCATTCCCCCACTAAAATGCACATCAAAATCCAAGAACCCCTGGCATTCCTATACTTGCCAGTAACTACATGCCTCCACAACTTTCCTCTAGCCAGATAGAATATTCATAACTCCTTCTATATTATATATATATATATATATATATATATATATATATTATATAAACCCTGATTAAACACCCTCAACTTTTTCACACCCAATACCCTCTTTTAATTGGACTACAGTTCTACAAACAATTTTCCAATCCAACAAAGGGTACTCATGCTCATCCTCCAACCCACCCACCCCATAATGCACCTTGCAACTTTTTCAGCCTCTTTGCGATAGAGGGCTAGAGGCTGAGATAGAAAGAAAAAAAAAAAAGTCATTAAATAAGTTGGTAAGCTAGAGAGGGTACTTGTTAAAAGGTCAACTTTCCCATTCACCAAAGATTGCCACTCCCAACCTACCAGAGTCACCAGACTCTTCTGAAACCTGTCTCTCACCAAGTCTAGTTCATGAAAGTAATATGTGACAAAATTAACGCGACTCATCGAAGAAAAAAGACCTTTTTCTTTTTTATAAGGTCCCAAATTACATTTTTTCAGCCCTTTTCGCTGAACGTAATGTATCTAAGCATAAACACAAAATGAATCCCTATAAAAAGAAAACAAAAGAATCTATTGGAATAGAAAGGTAAACGGCGTGACCCAAAAATATTGACAAAGGTTGAGTCAACAAAGTCTTTCCCCAACTGGTTAGGTCAATCTCCAAGTCTGAAAGCAGTTAATTTGTATTTTGAAAAAAAAAAAAAAGAGGCAAAAGTGAAGTCTATCTACCATCTTCCTCTCCCAGTACTCCACGTAGGTGGAACAAGTAATAGATAAAATAAAGGATATTAAGTGTGATTCCATTAATCAAGGGTGCTATTGGGGGTATACTATTCAAACCTAACCTTTGACATCTTTTGCACAAAGTAGCTACTCTCAAGATTAAAAACTGTGCTTTCATAATAGTAAATGGCCTATTTTGATTTGTCACGTGTGTGTGTGTGTGTGTGTGTGAGAGAGAGAGAGAGAGAGAGAGAGAGATTGAGCACATGTAGGATAACAAAATAGAAACTAAGGAGTTCAACCTTCCACGTTAAAAACTTCACAAGTAATCAAATCTGTGGTATGGAAATTGAAAAAAAAAAATATAAGACTTTCATATGGACAGGTTTAATACGAGATTAAGACCACGCTCGTAGGACATGCCAATGACAATAACTAATGCAAAAAAATTCACCCATTTTCATCTCTTAGCTTCCCGTTGCATGTTCTGACATCCCTTTTATGATTATCCAAAATATCCCTTGTCAAGGTCTCTCTTCTTATGTTCTTTTGTATATAATTATTTCTTTTTGGAGGAATATATTGAGATATCTTTCCACTTCTCTCAAAATTTTGTTTCAAATTCCATGTAAAGAATAAGATATACAACTCTAAGGGATCTTAACAAAGCGATATTCTTCCTGTAATGAGAGGTAATTCTATCCTGTATTGATCCTAATGCTTCATCCAAAGGAAAGAGGAAAAAACTTATGCTCACATGATAATAAGATCCTCTCATTCAGGGGTTCTATCCTGTATTGATCCTAATCCTAATGCTTCATCCAAAGGAAAGAGGAAAAAACTTATGCCCACATGATAATAAGATCCTCTCATTCAGGGGGAAAGCATATCATTGTGTGCTGACTATGTAAAACATGTGCTTAGCTCAGAACCAAGAAAATGCTCTTTACATCATTTGCAATAAGCTTAGATGTTTCCATCTGCTCATCCATCTTCCAATCCAAGTTTTCCAGCCTCTTTGATAAATGTCTCCTTGTTGACTGCAGAAATTAATAGAAAATAAAAAATCAAGAGCACTGCATATACAAGTGAAGAACTTTCATAAGTATAGAGAGAGAGAGAGAGAGAGAGAGAAGAAAAAAGTGATTACATATTAGCTCGATAAAACTTACAGCCAATGTAACTTTCAAAAAAAAAAACTTACAGCCAATGCTTCAGATACATTCTCTAACTGTTTTGACACAGTTGCAACAGCATTTGCCATATTATGCTTTGTCACGAACATTACATCAGAGAACGACCAACCCTGTAGAACACGAATATAGCCATGTTCACCAAACATGTATGTGCTTACAATCGTAACATGAAGTAGAACAGGATTTGTCACCAAAAAAGGTTACATGTTAAGAGTCACTAGTAAAATCTTGCCTTCCACCACATGTAACAATATCCCATTGCTCCGAGTGCTGCAGCTGGCATTAAGTACGAAGAATAATTCCCTGTGTGCATAAACAAAAGAGGGAGCGGGGAAGCAGGTGAGACTCTGAACTTCTCGAGTAGAAATTTATAACTGATTGATATGGTACATAAGAACTTTTGAAACTTTGAACGCTAAACGAAAAACTAAATGCAAATGGTGTCAATTGAAGCTTGATGTTTCCATTACCAAATGTGATAATCTGGAATAGAAGTAAATAGCACACATTTGAAATGGCATTCAACCCTAATTTTAGACAGTCTAAAAATTGCTGGACTGAGAACTAACAGCATTTGTAATAAAGCTATCAGGAGGAGGGGAAAGAAAAGATGATAGATGTGTGTTTTACAAACAGTGAGAGAAAGGAGAATACATGGAGGGAGAAGAAAATAGAGTTAGTGATTACCTGTTTTGCTCCTATTTTTTGCTACCTTCCATTTTTATATTTTCTCTCCACTACTTTTCACCAAGCAGAACAAAGGATTACCACTCCTCTCCTTTCTTTTCCCACTTAAGTGATCCAAACCTCTTTTTTTGGCTGATTATTGTGGTGACGAGCCTCTTAAGAGCACCCTCATAATCCAACACCGGGCACATGCAGTTGTCACGTCCCACATGCACTGGGAAAATTCCCTAGGGTTATCTTCTAGGGTTAATTATTCAAAAATTAGGAGAGGTTAATACTATCCTTCCTTTTACTTAACTTTTCTTGTCCAACTAATCCCATCTTTTTCTTTTCTTTCCCGCTGTAAATTATGTATTTAATAAAGAAAGCATTCAGATGGGGATAGAAAATGTGGATCCACGGATGTGCATCATCTGTAAATTATAACTTCTCAATCAATGGAGCAACTAAACTTGCTTTGAGGTTTTGAAATTTAGTGTTTACACACACACAAAAAAAATAAAAAAATAAAAAATCATTGTCTTTACTTTTAGTCCTGTGTGTGCATTGTTATGGAAAGTGAAGATTCAGTGAAAAATCTCAGTGGGTCAGAAAATCAGAATAGTCAGATTTTTCCATTACCAGTTTGCTTATGACAATTTATTTTTTTCCAAATCTTATTAGTTGAACTTCAGATATTGGAGGTTAATTATAGTATAAAATCACAGCCGAATTTAGCACACTCCTTGCTTCATGGAAGAGAAGTAGCACTTGCTTGATACACTATCCAGTTTACTGTGCACCCTTTTATTGAAGTCAATCCAAGTGGCAAATAAAGACAACAAAGGCGGTATCTATTTTGCTCAAGTTTAGTGAGGCAAAGATAAACCATTTGAAAGACTAAGTAGCAATATCTTGTCGCAAATTACCATGGGAAGATAAGTGTTGGTAATATGGTACACAGGGCAGAGTTACTGCATCTAGATACTCATTAACTACAGCTTCCCTCTTTTGGTACTTCTGTTAATCCTGGTTTCAAATGAAGTTTAGCAACAATACTCGGTGGTTTGTTATTTTATTAAATCAAAAGCTTCATATAAATTCTCTTTCAAAAAACAGAAATGTATCCATTGCAAACCTTCTCATCTCCTCTCCTGCCAAAAGTAGACACCAATTTTCACCTCAACATAAATAAAGTAGATATGGATTTATCCATGAATTAATTTTCTCTTCTTTCTGAATTCTTAAAAAAAGGTGGGGGGGAGAGAGAGAGAAGGAGAAGGATGCGTTGTCAAGCTCCCTCGGATTCCTTCTCCTAAAGCCAATGGCAAGTCCAATACAACTACCATCGCACATCTATGGTGTCCAATAATCAATCTCCATTGTCTACAAAGGATGTTTTCAAAATATCCCTCACTGTGTAAACCATCACTTAGCTATTTGGTCAAAAAGAAGTGAACACTGGCTTAGGCAATGAGTCACAAGTGATTATTGGCAATATAGTCCAAAGAAAGAAAAATTCTTTGTCCTCTCTCATAATTCATCTGGTTCAAAAAGGTGATCATGATGATGGTTGTCGCCTATGGAGTTCTGTGTATTCTTTTGGGAGAGCTCCCCTCTTGAAGTTTAATAAAATCTTACTTATCAAAAAAACAAAAATGTTCATGAGGGTTTTCTCTGTCATGGACCTCAAGGTTGCCAAAAAGGCTGCAAAAAGGAACACTACTAACATTCATATACAAGGTTCATCCAATCTCATGGATTTTGAAGCCCTTTTTTTTTTAACACACACATTGTCACCAATTTAGGGGAATCCGATGAGGACTGATAGGTTTACATGTACTTCAGTAGTACTCGGCCTTATTCTCAATATTCAACTTCATCAGCCTACATTTAGCCAATGGCATTTCTAACTGAATCCCTTTGAAGAGTGGTACACAACCCATAGGGTTTTATATCAGTAGTTAGATTAAATTAAGGAAGCAAGCAAAGAGGAACGATTGACAATCCAAAGACGGAAAATAAAAAAGAAGAACGTACATAATAAACCCATACACAGATATATATACGCACATGCACATGCACACACACACACACACACATAGAGAGAGAGAGAGAGAGAGTACATCTGGAAATAAGAATTTGAAAGAACACAAAAAAATAAGTCATTCCAATTGGCCAACACTCCCAAGCAACATCATTCAGGAAGATAATGAACAATGTATGAACAAAGAGTTGGTGGAAACAAAGTTGGGATAATAACATGTGTGTGCTTTCGTGGTCCTATATTAAAACATAAACATAAACATACATGAGATGTCAATTTACATACCACTGGAAGTAGAATTTCCATTGAAAATGGTTATAGGACTGGCTACTGTTAACTCCTTGATCTCTTGTGCCAATTGTCGAATCTGAATATAAGGGCAAATAACTAAAAATAAATATGATTTCATGAAGTTAATTCGTATAAATGGCCTACAACTACAACCGCATCCTTTGCAGCATTTTAGTAATGAAAAAGCAAGTATAAATTTTTTTAAAAAATATTTCACTGTCAGCTTATGTTGCTTCTCTGGGAAAACATAAAAAAGAAAAGAACATAAAAGAAAAAGTCGAGTGCCTCCTGCATGCCCAACTTAAGCGTTCCTCCCTCAACAGATAGTTCTTACTTATTCACATGTCAGATTTTTTTCACTAATTTAACTATACTCAATGTCAATGTTGTCAAATGCTCTGGCTGGAAGCAGGAGTGGCCGAGTAACTGAATAACTTAAGAAAATTTTCTTGACAGAAGTTCAAGAGTTACCAACTCATCATTTGGGAACTTTCAGTCTCGACTCGGTACCTTAGATCCTCTTACATTCTTTTTATTTAAAAACAATAAATATGCCTTGGCATGCAATGAAGGCAATTTATGAGATCAATATTATAAATCAAGGATACAAAAATAATAAAATTGTAGAGGGAAGTTTGAATTAGAACCAGTCGACTAGCAACAATTGTAACCATTTCCAGAACACATGGCAGACCACACAGCTTCAAAATTTTCATTTCTTAATTAAAAACATATATAATTTTGCATGAAAAACTTTCCAGAATGCAAAAATCTTACAGGATGGGAAGAAAAGGAAAAATTATAAGTCTGCCAGTGTATACATGTGGAAGAGAGAGATCTTTATGGCATTGTTCTTTCTCTTTGGTACTCTGGAAAAACTATATATATTCCAAGAGAAAAAGAATGAACAACAAAAACCTTTTTTCATTCAAACTATAAGTCAAATTGTAAAAATAATAATAAAGAAAGCAATAGGTTGACAAAACTAGCACCTAAATACATAGGCGCTTTAAGTTGCATCCTTTTTTTACCAACTAAAAGAATTGAATCCTAAATCGCACACCTTCCTTTTAGATGCAATGACAGTACTTAACCACCATGCTACAATGGCTTTGACGATTGACAATACATAAAATACATCTAGATGTGGTGCTTTGTTTTTTTATCATCTGATTGTTCCATGAAATGCAGCTGTCAAGACCAAGAAATACTTAAGTAAAAGCAATACCTGGGTTGCAAGAAGCACACTGTCATACTTGCCAGACGAAATTTCAGTTTCATTCACACCTTTTATTAACTCTTGAAGCTGTGAAATGATATCAGATAATCGTCCGCTCCTCAAAACAACAGAACTAGTCAGCCCTAAAAAATAAAAAAATAAAAAAAATAAAAAATAAAAAAAAATAAAAAAAGGATGAAGACAAACAGAAATGTAAATGGGAAAAAGATTATTCCATATGGTTAAACTGGAACAATTTGAAAATTTCACATAATCTTTTTTCTTTAAATATTGGATTAAAAATAATTTGACAGACAATAAAATTTTAACCCTTTCGTCCCACCCCTACGATTTCCATACCATGCCATCACTTCACCAGTCACCACTGTGTCCATTTCATTCAAATACACACACATATCACACAGAGAGAGATATATAAACTAAAGTAGACTGAATTTATGGACGAAATAGCAAATAATTAAGGAGGAATATAATAATACATATAACATGAAACTATATGAATGAAAACAATATCGTGCTTATTAGGAATTGAATTTGTCTAAAATACTGACAGCTAGTATGATAGCATCCACACTGAACTTTAAATTTTTTTTTTTGATAAGTAAAACTTTAAATTAACTAACTGTAACAATTATATTTACTATCTATACTAAGCTATTAAAAAATAATAATAATAATAAAAATAAATAAAAAATTTACGTGCGCGGAAGAAAATTTAATCTTGTAACAGGAAAAAAAAAAAAGGAAAAATAAAACTAAATCAAAAGTAAGTTCATCAACAATAGGTTTTGTTCGTGTATTATATAGTTTTTGAGGTGTGGTGGTTACAGAATTCATCCTAATCCATGCGAATAAAACTGAATTGGGTATTCAAATAGGTTTGAGCTACATGGATGAGCAGTCAGCACATATAACAAATCAAAGAAGCAAATTTTAAGACTCGAACGACTGAAACTGTAAGTAATCCGATCAGACGGTAACAATAAATTGATCAAACAGGGATGAGAGAAAGAGAGAGAGAGGAATCACCGGCTCCGACGAGGATTAGAACTTTGGATGTCGATACCCCAGCCTGCATCGCCATGGTTGCGTGAATCGGATGCAGCGATCTTCTTCGCCGAAAGCAGTATATGACCGTAATATAGGCAGTGTTTGGGAAAATTCTTGCAGCCTTGGAAAGGACTTCTAAACCAGGAAAGTTTTTTCCTAATATTTAGGTTTTTCCTAATATTTAGGTTATATAAAATAAATGTAAGAAATGCTCGAGTAAATGAGAATTCACTTGCGCGACTAGCGCAGTTAATGGTAGGATCAAGTTCAGGCAAATTGTATTTAATGGGGGCCGGGCCGGGCGGGGCGGGGCTGGGCGGGGCGGGGCGGGACCAGAACGGATTCACTCATTTCGATTACTAATTGAGTTCCATCTGTTACCATTCATGTCACCCTGGCTCCACTTTCCCCGTCACCCTGGCTCAAGGAATCAAGCGCGTCAAGATTACTCTTTGAAATTGTTAAGTGCACGGCTTATATATTGTAGTTTTCTCGTAATTTTTTATTTTTATTTTATTTTTTTTATATTTTGGTAACTTGGCCGGTTTGAGCTATCGCAGCTAAATTTTTGTCCGAGTCCATAACTTCCGGTCCCCTCCGACCACTCTCTCTCTCTCCTATGCTCTCTCTCTCAACACAGAACCCATCCTCCACAATTCCATGCCAACCACGATATATCTCCTCCTCATATTCTCTATACTCGTTCCTTCACATACCCATGTTCAATCCACAGACGAATCATTCATATCCATTCTCATATCCCAAAATGGTCTGGATTTCATCAAAGACTTGCTTATAACCTACGCAATTTCTTCTCTCACTTCTCTCCAATTGCCCCAAATTTCCAAAAATGTTAAAATCCCAGTTGTGGGTAGCGTTCACATCGCCCTATCCAACATCACAATCTATGAAATCAATGTTTCTTCATCCTATGTTAAACCCGGCAACACCGGTGTTGCGATCGTCGCATCGGATGCAAGGTGCAACTTGAGTATGAATTGGCGCTATTCTTACCGTACTTGGCTTGTCCCCATCGAGATTACAGATAATGGGCACGCTTCTGTCGAGGTAAAAAACTTTTAGTTATTTTAGGGTTTTCTTAAATTTTGCGCAGATATATGTTTATTGAATATGTTGGTTTGATTTATTTCTAACTTAGAGAAGATTGAATGGTTAATTCTTGCACGAGATTCATTCCTTTTCAGTTTAGTTATGCTTTTATTTGTGTAATATTTAAACTAAACGGATAAATTAATTCCAAAGTTTGGTTTTTTAGGCTCAGTTAAGAAGTTTAACTCATGCTCAATGATGGGCATTAATTAAATTCTTGGAAGCATTACGCACTACATGGTTTCTCACAATTGCTCCTTTATATTTCCCCCAAGTACTAATCTGCATAGTGTATTTTGGCATTTGGAGTGTCAATTTAATCATATTCTTGAAAAAATAGTTTTTATTTGATTTTTCATTTGTATAAAGAGATTGCTTCATAGATTTTACCATACACGAATTTGGCAATATTACATTGAAGTTTATTATCCATTTCAGTCTCTTAAGAATACGTCTGGTAAAAAACATAGTTTCAAAAACACACTCATGTTGTGTTTGGAAGCACTTAATTGGAGCCTTCGATTTGGAATTGAAGAAAATTTAGTTCAAAGTTTAAACTTTATTTCCTCCAATTCCAAATCCAAGGTGCCGGTGCTCCCAAACACAATGTCAAGTAAATTAGGGAGCTTTTGTAACTACCATATGCCATGCATGTGTTGAGACTGAAAAGAAGAGACAGGGAAGATTCTTACATGGAAGTCAGTCCAATTATTGTGTAGGATTACTCTCACGTTTCTCCTGGCATATAATGATTATTTTTTTGATAAGTATCTCCTGGCATATAATTAAATAGAAGTAGTTTTGGCTATTATCTGTTGGGGGTAGTTTTGGGAACTAGGAAGTGATTTAGCTTTCTATATCAAATAATTTTTGTATTGCATTTATATGTGCATATATATTTTTCTATGGGTCTTTGGAAAGTATGATTAGTTCTGTTTCTGTATAAGGTTGAAGGCATGGAAGTTGGGCTTACTCTAAGATTGGAGAACCAAGAAGGAGCTCTGAAGCTGTCCCTTCTGGAATGCGGTTGTTATGTGAAAGACATCTCCTTTATATTGGAAGGAGGAGCGTCTTGGCTTTATCAAGGGTATGTAATCCCGCAACAAAATGGATTTCCCCCCTCCCCCTCCCCCTCCCTTTTGGTGTATGTGTGTTTGGGGGGAGTGACTCGTTTATTTTTCTTGATTGTTGCTTACATCTAGTGTTGTATTGGTTTAAATTTAACATTTGTTACTTGGGGATTACTTCAATCTCAAGACACCAAATGGGCTTAAAACATGATTTTGGTCAGGAAGAGAAGTAATTTTAATAAAGTTGTTCATTTCTCCTCTATCCATTCCATCAAGGTTGGCCTTTTGCCTTTTTATGAGTTTTTCTTTGACCCAATACTCTACGTTGCTTCTTGTCCATATATTCTATTTGAGGTTGCTTCTTGATTTAAGATAGGAAATTGTTTATAAGGGGCCATGAGATATTTCCATTCGAAAAAGGCTTGTGACTATATGCCCAAAGATGATGTGATATACCAATCTTATGATTGGATAGAGACCATATAAGATCAGTGTAAGTCAATTTTTTGTTAACTAAAGCATCCTTCTTGTAAACAAATTCGTATCGATTATTTTAGAGATTAACAAGTTTGAAGCAATTTTAGCTGATTCAGAAAAATAATCACAAAATCTCAAGGAGTAAAAACTATAATCAAACTAGACTCTAGTTAAGATTATTAAATCCCCCCAAAGGAAAAGAAGAAGAAAAAAAAAATGAGAGAAGCAGCAATATTCATTAGCAACTCTTGAACAGTAAAGCAGCTTGGGATTCATAACCCAAAGCCCTAGATTTGATTCGTGTGATGTGTGCAAGGAATTAGTTTCAAGAGAGAGAAATGGCAATAGAGAGACAACATGGCCCCAGTATGGTGATGATTCCAGGTTTAAGCATAGTTATCCCCTTGCCTTATCCACCCTTCCAAAGCACAACCACTAGATATTTGAAGTGAACCGCTACTGTCCAAATTATATACATTTTTGACAATTGCATTGCTTGGTTCTATGTATCTTTGTAATTGAAGATTAAGATCAATGTTAGTATTATTATTTTTTAATGTAGTTTTGTTGTGTTAATTTTCTAGAATGTTCGATGCTTTTGAAGGGCAAATAAGGTCTGCAGTAGAAAATGCTATTACGAAGAAAGTTGCAGAAGGAGTCTCAAAGCTTGATTCCTTATTACAAGGTCTTCCAAAAGAACTCTCAGTGGATGATATTGCCTCCTTAAATGTCACTTTCATGAATAACCCTTCATTGACTAATTCTTCTATTGGGTTTGAGATCAATGGATTATTCACCAAAACAAAGAAAGATGCATTTTCAAATCACTACTACAAGAGTTCACAACCTTCAGTTTCTTGCATGAAGCCATCTAAAATGCTTGGAATTTCATTAGATGAGGCTGTTTTTAACTCTGCATCAGCCCTGTACTTCAATGTAAGTGATGAAATTTAATTTATTTTTTCCATTGATAGTTCCCCCCCTAAATAACAAAATAAATAAAAATAATGGAAGTGTTTTTCTTATCTATATTCTTTTACTTGTTGAAGACATGAATTGTATTGTCATCACCATCCTTACCTTTATCCCATATGGATGGGGTTGGCCACATAAACCCTCTTTTCCCATTCTTTCTTACTGTATGTATACATGTCTTCTCTAATATTTATCTTATAAAATCTTTTTTAATTACGTCATCCATGTAAGTTTTGGTCGTCCCCTTTGTTGCTTACCTTCTAGGCAAACAACTCTCTCTTTTAACCGATGCATATTCGGATATATGTTGTGACCATACAGCCCCAGGTCTACTTTCTCTTATTTTATTATTAATAGGTGTTATTCCTATTGTTTCTCCACTCATTCATTACTAATCTTCTCTCTTCTATTCACTCCTATTATCCATTGTAGTATCCTCATTTCCACTTCATGGATGCGTTGGAGCTATTTGTTCTTGAATGAAGTCTATCCGAACCCTTCCATGGACCTCAAAGAAGAGGTCCAAACAAGTTGTGAAAAGCGTCGATCATTAAGATGAACTCCATCCGAGTGCTTTTGTCAAATTGACAGTCATGTTATTTTTGTTGACTGGAATGATTTCCACAAATTTCTTGTGAGTTGGATGTTCTCATTTCTGTTTCAACACCCAACACTCTGATCCATATAATATAGCTGGTGTAATAACCATCCTATATAAATTTCCTTTTAATTGATTTGATATTCTTTTGTCACATAGGATCCAACTAGGTTGTTGTCCACCCTACACCATCCTACTTACTAGATCGCCATCTTTCTCCCTATTTTTTTTTCTTAATGTTGACCCTAAATAATGAAAGAAGTTATTTTGAGCAGCTCTTTGGTCTTAAATTGCAATACTTATATTGTTATCTTCTACTACTTTATCAAATTTACATTCCATGGCACAAATCTAAAAAGTTGAATGCTCATGTTTTGCTGCTGATGGTAATATTCTCTATACTCAAAGGCTGGAATTTTGAAACCTGCACAATTTTTTTTTGTCATTCTGAATTTTATCCATAATTACGAGTGTCATAGCGGGCATTAGGTAGAGCGGAATGACAATACAAGATTTATGTAGCCGGCCTCAAATAGTTGGAAAAAAAGGTTTCTTTCATTGAGTTTTCTGAAGCGCTATAGTGAAATGGTATATCATTGAATGGAGTGATCTAAGTTTTGACTTCTATTTTCAGCATAATGAACATTAATGTTTTTGACACATTTTGTGTGAATGAATTTGATTTGTGCAGTCTGTATTGGGGCTCCTTTAAAACGTTCAAAGATACTGTTTTCTTTTCTTTTTTCAAAGGTTCAAGTTTTTTTCCCCTTTTCTGGAACTCTTTCTAGAAAAGCAGAACCCTTATCGTCTCCCTTGGTTCTGAGTACCTCGAATCAATGTACTTATTTAACTTCCCTTGTCTTTAGTTTTGTTAGATTCTCTGAAATTAGAGATGTTTAAAACATTTTCCGGAATGGTGGTGGAGAAGACAAATTCAAAATCCATTTTCTGGGGTGTGAGAGCATGGCCGCAACAAGTGATGTGGTTTTGCTTAGAATTTGATAGCTTATGATACTGTGCTGCGTTATTAGAACAAATAGGAAGTTTCAAATGTATTATAGTGACCTTTGTTTGTGAAAGGATATTATTCTAATAGAGAGGGAGTACACTCTGTCTTGTTTCTAAGTAAACAGTGGAGGAGAGAGTTTATTGTTGGTTGGATCATTGGTGGTGGTGAGTGTTTCTCAATGATGAATTATCATATTTGCTATTCTTGAAAACAGAGGGGCCAAAGTGGCTCACTAATTATTTCTGGACATTTGTTCTCATTGTTGATATTTTAGGTTAGAAGGATGATTGTGAAATCTTAGAATTGGCTGAATACTTAGAAATGCTTGCTGGATTTCTACTAGATGTTAAAGAGAAGTACAACCACTGGATGTTTCCAGATGTGGAGGACTATTTCTCCACTTGTATGTAAGATCTGGTTCTTCCGTCACGTCTAAGGTTGTCCCCATCTTTTATTTTTGTATGAAGTACTATTTGTTTAGAGTTCTCCATCGTCAATCGACATATGTGGGGAGTTTAATCTTTTTCAACATGTGTTTCCGCATCTGCCTAGAGGACTAAAGGGACCGCCTTTGTTTACTGTGACTCTCTTTTGGGGTCTCTTGTCTGCTGGTCATTTGGAATACTTTGGACATTCTCTATTTCCTTGGGCAATGTCTTCCTAGGTTGTTGCATAAGGGCGATTTGCTGCAAAGTATAGCTACTTTGAAACCTTGTTCTCTTAGCTGTCATCCACTGTATTTAGGATAAGAAACTGTGTGAGTTTTTTGAAGAGAGGAATCTGATGCTCCGTTGTTGTTTAAAGAGTAGTGTTACCAGTTTAACAGAGTCTAAGATATTTTTTGGACCTTTGTAAAATTTCGGCTATTGTTTGGCCCAACCGATTGCCTTTCCCTTTCAAGCGAATAGCTATCTTAAGATTTGGCATTTTTGCACATATATTCCAACTCTTTCCTTTTTATTTAAAATGAAGATTGCCTTTCTGTATGCAAGACTTAATCCACAAAATTTTATGCGTGCTGTAATTCATTATCTAATTACCATGCTTCATTGTATTTGCCTTTAACGATTGTCCTTTTATACTATCTAAATTTCGTTTTTCAGGCAGATATCATGCAATGGATTGTGGATGAAGTACCAGAGCAGTCTCTCTTAAACACTGCTGGATGGAGATTTATTGTTCCCCAACTGTACAAGAAATACCCGAATGATGATATGAATATGAATATTTCTCTATCTTCTCCTCCCGGCATAAGGATTTCATCACATGATATCGACACTACTGTTTATGCAGACTTGATCATTGATGTTTTAGAAGCTGGTGATGTAATACCAGTTGTCTGTATTTCATTGGTAAGTTTATTGACCTAAAATAGAGAATGTTTAAGAACTGTCATGCCACCTTAACCAATTAATTAGGTTTAGAACGCAAGAAAAAATAATGTTTTCTAGTATCATGAAGCGTGAGTAGATGACTAGAAGTACTTAAATACAAAGAAACTCAGGTAAGCTATGGCACACTTGAATATTAATATTTAGTTTCTGATATTGAACCTTGTTTTAGCTCGTAAAATGTGTTTGTAGTTTAGAAGTTCTCATTTCTGTCTTTCCTTTTTGTCGCAAACACTACCTTCTCTGGTCGTGCTTAATTCAAAAGTTGGACGTGGTCATGATGTTCTATTCAATGAAAAGTTGACATTCTTCCATTCAGTGTGACTCTGTCTCTTTCTTGGTACAGGTAATTCGTGCCTCTGGTTGGGTTAAAATATCAAGGAATAACCTTGCTGGTGCTGTGAAGTTGAATGATTTCACTATGTCACTGAAGTGGAGTAAAATTGGTAACTTGCACATGTCTCTAATTCAGGTAATTTTGATGGCCTCTCAAATTAAGTTGACATTTTCATGCTGCAAGTGATATTTATCATGTTATAGTTTCCTGTTGTTCTTTTGGTGAAATATATGTCCGGTGCTGAATGTGTTTCCAAGTTGCTTTTTCTTTTTCTTTTTCCTTTTAAAGTCACAAATTCTAATAGCCTTCAAAGGAAAATCACTAAGAAACCCCTTAATAACTTTGAAATTATGAGAAAGTGAGAAAAGTGATTTCATTATGCATTTCAAGCCTGGGATAATGCCTGACAGAATATGGGCTATGTTTTGCATATATGAGAAATTCTCTTTCTTATTGACGAGGAGGGTAGGGAGCGAGGGTTTTATATTTCTTGCTGAAATAGGCTCCGAGAATCAGTAATTCATCAGCTGTTGACAAGTCTAAGTAACCATAACTTTCTGATGATTGCAAACTGCCTTCCAAGTTTGTATTGGTTGATGAAGAATGAATATAGTTGGTATTAATTGCTGTGAATTACAAGTCTTTCAGCTTATCTAGGTCGACTCAGATCATCTTATGCCCGCTATGGTATTTTTTGAGACTCTATCAAAGCTTAAATTGTTTAGTGGAAAATAGAAGTGGAAAGTATGTCAATGTTGTTAGTTGAAATTTTACTGTTAATGGTTATGCTCTCATCATAGAAAGAATGCACTTTGTAGCAATTTTACTTAAGAAGGTATTTCTCTCAAAAGGTAAACAAAATAAATTCACTCACTCTAGGGGAACATAATATATATATATATATATAGATTGGGAAAAGGTTTGGCTGATTCAGTAGGAGTAAATCCTGGGAAAAGGAGACCATCAAGGTGATTGATGAGGGTTTTTTGTAATGTTGGTATGCTAATGTTGTTAAATTATATGCTTAAAACAGGGTAAATATGAAGCAAATAGCAAGTTATGTATCCTTGAAACTAGAGAACAGCCTCCCATTTTTAATAATTTTATTTTTCGAAGAAGGGAAAGGAAGAAACTTTCATTTTTTTTTGGAGTTACAGCTTTGAGTTGATTTAGTATCAACAATTGTGTGTTGTGAAGCACATGGTAGTATGGCAATATGGGAAATTCCCGGATTTAGTTTTCAAAAGTTACGAACCAAATTATCCACCTGCTCCAAACACATGTAGCCAGAGTTTCCAAGCAACTATAGTTTTCCTTAATAAGTGAAAATTTCCAAATACAAGCCAGTTTCTTCATATATGTGCTCCAAACACATGCAGCTGGAGTTCTCAACCATATTTGGGATAAGCCTATCCTTACTACAGGATACAGGCAAAAGCGAAGTATAAAATGTTATAATTTGTCCAAAATGTTTGTTAGAAGTGCCAAGGATTCTTATTTTGGATATGGATATTATTGTATTATATCTAGATTATCGAGTTTCAGTAATATATCTTTTATTCAACTTCTCTGTAATCGAGGCAGCTGGTGAAGAAATATGGGATTAAACCTTCAAGATTTGGTTATTTTTGCATTGCATTGGCTGCTGTCGGCATAGGGGAAATATTGTTTATGAGATCATAAGAACTTTTTAAACTTGATCCTTTTTCTAAGCTCCATAATACTTTTTAATGCTTGGGTGAATTAGGGAAAGTAAAGGATTACCTTTTGAACTCTTGATAAGTTGCTAGAGAATTTGTTTTTGCAGCCGGTGATATGGACCCTCATCGAAACAGTGTTCTTGCCATATGCAAACTTACACCTCGCAAAAGGATTCCCATTGCCCATCATCCATGGTTTTACCCTTCGGGATGCTGAAATAATCTGTTCAAATTCTAAAGTTACAGTTTGCAGTGATGTTGCTTATACGGAATCATACAGGCCTGGTCAGCTTCTGACTTACTGATGTACATTTGATCTTAAGTTTTCAAGGTTGTATTTGAAAATAGTTGTAGGGAAGAACATGCAACAATGTCATCTCATGTATATTTTATACATGTAGGGTTCATTTTTCACCCATGTACAGTATTGTTTCGTATGTACGGTTTGGTTGCAAGCCTCACACCACTTGGATGTGCAATTTGTATCAAGTCCTATCATGGTTATATATATAAGTTATGTCTTGAAACTGATAGTCTTTATTCAATTTTTAAATAACAAAAAGATTTGGTTTTAGGACCTATTCAACTTTCTGCACTGTGTATTACAACCAAATGGAATTTTGCAGTTATCTATGTTCAAGTATAAGATATGTGTGTGTGTTTTATATGTATATATTTGGTAATAAACATCTTGGATCTTTGGTTAGAATTAATGTTTTTAACCTTTATGTTCACAAAAAAAATTTATGCCAAAAAAAACGTATGAACTCTTAAAAAAATGATTATCCAAACTAGAATCGATTTTATCCTGTTAAATCGCCACACTAAATAGACTATTAGTAAGGCGTCTGCGGCATTGCAGTCCATAATAAATATATATTATTCTCGCAATATAAACCTGAACAATTGAACTTTTAATCTTTTAAAAGATATCCTAAATATGTTGTTAATATGAACAATTGTAAAAAATGATTTCACTTGGTGCATTGAAATTGAAAATAATTTAATTTTTAAAAGCATTTTTTTTCCAAAACATATGGAGACGTAAAATATTATTTTTAAATTTTAGCCCTTTTTTGGACACGAATTGTTCCGTGTAGAAAACATTCGTTACATTACCAAACATGTCGAAGCCAAACAGGGCTTAGTGTGTGTGAATGCGCTTCAAATATCAACTCAACTGAGTCGACCCCATCCGAGTTGCTTAAAAAATATCACCATTTCGGATTAGACAAGAGTACAGAGAGACAGACACACAAAAACCTCACTAAAACCCATCTCTCTCTCTCTGAGCAAGTTGGATAACTCCATGTGTAGTACAGCTCTGGTGTGAATTGTGATGGACCAAGAAACTCCTTTGCCCAAGTAGAGTTTTCTCTCTCTGTTAGAATATAATATATATGTGTGTGTTCATCTTTCGCCAACAAAGATGCAAATATCTCCGACTATATCAACCTCTCACTTCCCTTCTCTGCTGCCATTTCACCAACCCACCTCACACCTTACTCACAAATTCCCTCCAACCATTCAAAACCCCAACCCCAAACTATTGGTGAACAACCATGTCGGACCTCAACATGCCGTAAAAGGGTCTGGGTTTTTATCGGCAATTGGCCGAGCAATCGAAGAAGAAGAAGAGTACAGAAAAGCTAGGGCTGAGGTCAACCGTAAAGGGGTCGACCTAGAAGGGTATTCAATTGAGGGAGTTTCGATTGGCGGGCACGAAACGTGCATAATTGTACCTGAACTGAAATCTGCATTTGATATTGGGAGGTGCCCATTGAAGGCTGTTCATCAGAATTTTCTTTTTATTACTCATGCCCATCTCGATCACATTGTAAGTTTCCACAAATTATTTCAGTGTGTACCCCTTGTAGACGTTATTTTGTTTTCAGTAATTGGTGTCATTAGTAACACCAGTTTTCTGTTTTAGGCTTTGAATATTTAGTCACAGTTTGAATGCAGATCATAATCTATGCTTCTTCAGAGTAATCACAGGAGTATATACAAAATACAAATTTGGTCTTACTATTGACATAAAATGTTGAATATTTGATGTCAATACTAAGACCAAATTTGTTATTTTTTGTTTCCAAGTTACTGTGAAAGTTTGAACGAAATTGTTTTTGTATATATGATTATTCTGGGGCGTATTTCGTTTTTTTTGTTATTCATGTTCACTTGATTGATATGAGCTCTCTTCCCATATTAATGAACACCCAAACTAGATTTTTCATTTTATCAACTGGAACTGTTGTGGGTGGTAAGACCAATTTTGTGACGTTACTTGAAATGTTTCAGTCACAAATCACAATGCCAGTGAAGCTGCTTTGTCGATATGGCTATTTTCTAGGTTGGCGAATCAAGTTTACAGATCGATATGCATGCTGTATATCTGCATAAATACAATGAACAACTGTGCTAATTTCTTTAATTAAGCTTAAGTACGATTAAGTTATGTAGTTTGATTTAATCAAAATGGCATGCGTTAACTCCATGCTTTGGCATTATATGAAGATAAGGGTTCTGCTGTCAGTTTTATTACTCAATAAGTTCCAATTCTTATTTTGCGATGGTCTGCATGATTTGAATCACGTTGTTTACCTTAATTTCATTATTGTGTAGTTTAGTTTTTCCCTTAAAATATGAATGTAAAAGTTGTGATGAGCTTTTGATATGTCTATTGGTTCAGGGTGGACTGCCAATGTATGTAGCAACTCGTGCCTTGTACAGCTTGAAACCTCCAACCGTGTTTGTGCCTCCTTGCATCAAAGAGGATGTGGAGAAGTTATTTGATGTTCATAGGGCCTTGAGTCAAGTGGAACTGAAGCTTGATTTGGTTCCACTTGGTGTAGGTAGGTGGTTTTCACTACTTGATATGTCTTTTTAGTTATTTTTTATCTCCTCATGCAAATATGATCTAATAAGTTTTTAATTCAGGGGAAACATACGAAATGCGGAACGACATTGTCGTACGACCATTTAAAACTCACCATGTTATACCCAGCCAGGTGTGTCTCTGTCAAACTAATGTTTATTATATATTTTTTTTTTTTTGATAAGTAAAATGAATTAAAAAGCGTTCAAAAGGGGAACGCGTCCCAAGCTATACAAAGACAAAATGAAACCTATGAGCTCAAAGAGCCCATGAAGTCAACAATATCCTCAAGGGAAGAGTAGTCTTTCCCCTGACCCCAACAAAAAAGGGTACAAATAATAGAAAATTTAAGCACTCCAATGGAAGACTCCTTCCCATCAAAAGATCTACCATTCCGCTCTTTCCAAAGGCTCCACCAAATGCAAAAAGGGGCCACCCTCCAGAAAACTCTCGCCTGAGCCCCCACCCATTGGCCCCTCCAAATATCCAATAACTCCCGAGAGGTCCGAGGCATGACCCAATGAATACCAAACAAGCCAAAAATCAAACTCCAACAATCTTGAGTCACAGGACAATGCAACAGAAGATGACCCACTGACTCCCCATTAGTCTTACAAAGACAACACCAATTAACAATGATATGACTTCACTTCCTCAAGTTATCCAAAGTCAAGATCTTACTCTAAGATGCAGTCCACACAAAAAGGCCACCCTAAGGGGCGCCTTAGACAACCACACCGTCTTCCATGGGAATGAGGTGCCATGAAAACCAGAGAGGCACACAAAAAAGGATCGAACCTGGAACATCCCCTAAGAAGAAGGCACCCAAATCAAAGAGTCTGCACCAGAACCCTCCACCTCCTGCCTGTAAAGGAGAGCCAAAAACCCCGTGATGTCATCCAACTCCCAGTCCTGAAAAGCTCGCCGGAAGCGCACATCCCAAGACAACCTTCCGCTATCAAGGCGATAGCAGTCAGCAACCATAGCATGTTTGTCAACAGCGATCCTGAAAAGCCTAGGGAACAAAAGAGCCAATGGCCTATCCTCACACCATGAATCCTCCCAAAACTGGACATTCCTTCCATCCCGAACTTTGAATCTAATATGTTTGGAAAAGGCATCCCAACCCTTTCCAATGGCCCTCCACACCCCCACTCCTCTAGCAAACCTGACTGGTCTAACTAACCACCCTCCTCTCTCTTCCCCAAAGCGACACGAAATAACCCTTCTCCATAATCTGTGTCTTTCACTACCAAATCTCCAAAGCCACTTGCCAAGAAAAGCACTATTGAAAGGGGCCAATCTCCTAATACCAAGCCCTCCCAACCGAAAAGGCCTGCAAACCTGCAAACCTGACTGGTTTATTATATATTTATTCATAGAAACACTTATAAAAAAATAAAAATAAAAAACGAAAAACAATTCATTAAGAGAAATAATCTGGTAATTGAGTTCTTAAGTTCTATAAACGCCACCCGGATTCTTTATAAAATCAACTTCCAATCAAAATATAAGACCCAGTGATGAATGAGTCTAGCTTTCAATGTCCATGCTGTAAGAGATTGAATAGATAAAACTAGGTATAAGGATTTACCCAATTTAGACTTGAAATTTTACCTTGGTAGAACACTAGAACATAGAAAGCCTTACACCCACAGATTCAGAATCATATTATTGTGATGATTTTTTAAATTGACAATGGTCTTTGCAAGGCCATCTAGTTGGTTGGGCTTGCTTTACTAAGTGCATGCCTTGCTTTACGTTTTTCAATTACAGTACTATGCATCTCCACTTGCACTGTGGGGCTTGGATGTGGATAATTACCTAAATAATAGACTCTCTTCACAAGTGTTTTCGAGCTGGAGGTTCTCACATTTCCGAGCTATGTGTTTATGTGTTCCTTTCAGGGGTATGTCATTTATTCAGTCAGAAAGAAGCTGAAGAAGCAGTACATTCACCTGAAAGGAAAACAAATTGAGAAATTGAAGAATTCTGGTGTGGAGGTTTGTGATTTTCTACAAACTAACTTTCTGTTAAAATTCTGTGTTTAAGTTTTTGTTTGACTTCAAAATTAATTTGTTAGATCACAGACACTATATTGTCTCCAGAGGTGGCCTTCACTGGAGATACAATGTCAGATTTTTTGCTCGATCCACGCAGTTCTGATGCCTTAAGGTCAAAAATTCTTATAACTGAGGTAATGTGTTTTTATTCCATGTAAAGTTGCTCGCTGTCTATGTTTCATAATCTATTGTTTTTTTCCCCCCTGTTTCATAATCTAGTAACGTGTCTTTATTCCATGTAATTTTGGGTGTTCTCTATGTTTCATAATCTTGAGAATATGTTTTAGGGTGGTGCGTGGGTGTACAGAAAGAACATGGCTGAATTGTCAAAGGGTCCATTTTGCATAATCTATTGTCTCTACTAACATACCCCATCTTTTTCTTTTTTTTCTTAGTTGGTACTCACACACCCATATATGCCTCCATTGAAGCTTGAACCCCTGACCTTCTTTTGAAAAGTAGGGGCTTGATACCGCTGGGCCACTGGCCCATTGGTAACATACCCCATCTTTTCTCTCTCTCTCTCGCCCAAGGGGAAAATAAAAAAGTCTCTCGCCAAAGTATTTGCTTTGAAAAATTATGTGATGAAGGCATGTATTTAGCAAGTATCCATATAATTTCAAGTTCTCTTGAAACAACTTCTTTTCCAACCTTATTGACACATGCCTATAGGGTGAAATGTCCATGTCGCATTGTGCATGATGCTCATTCTTCATATATTTCGAAGTATCTATACAGTAGATTTCTTATGAAAAACAATATTTGCAATTAACGTTTCTATGTGGAATTATTTTTCTTGGCATACCTTAGCATTTTGTTTAATTATCATTTGGCAGTATTTAGGATCTGTAAATAGTATTGGCTATTGTAGTTACTAAATGCTTGCTCCATAGTTATTAGTTTGAGTGTGAAGGGAATATTTGACTGTCAGATGTCAATCACTCACCACTCAACTTGTGACAAAAGCAAAATAGAATTGCATCCAGGAATAACAATGTTCATAATTCATTTGGTACGGTAGGAGATGCTAAAACGGTAGGGACATTCTGGTGTAGAATGAGAATGCTCTGGTATCAATTGATGTAAAACCAAAATGCTGTGATACCAAGTTGATGCATGATGGGTGGGGCTGCTCTGATACTAACTGATGTAGTACCATTATGTTTTGATACCGACTGATGTAGGACCAAAAAGAAAACAGGGGATGAGAAGACAAAAGAAGAGGTGAGAAGAAAAGAAGAGAGGGGGTGAAAAGATGGAGGAAAAGAAATAGGGAGAATAAAAGCTGTAATCTCTGTAATCAATGGTCAATAATCATCAAGAGTTATCCAACTCAATGTATCGCACCCTATATAGGCAGTGAAATAAACCCTATCAAACACTACCACTAAATAGATATCCCAAAATAAATATTTAACCACCTAATTTTATGTATCCTTGCCCCTTCTCGAAAAGTAAAGGCGAGTCATGTGTGACCCATGCTTTTGAGTCAGATCTGGTTCTCCATTACCTTCTTTTTTTAATTGTCATAGTATTGTGCAAGTAATTAGTCTTAAAATTATCAAGTGAGGTCATTCCAACGCTAATTAGATTGGGTTTCTTATGCCCTGCGATGGACACCTTCCTTCAACATTTTTTACTCATCTATTTCCAATTGTTATCTAGTTCTTAATGCCCTTCAATGTTGCAGTTAAACAAAGTTTCCAGTGGTTAAAAACTTAAAGTGAATCCAGCTATAGTACTTGCTATTCTAGATTTAAGCTATATATATATAAATGAATTGGACATTTCCTGAGAAAAATGCTCCACTTAATTTTTTCAACTTTATGCAAGTTTTATGAATAATGGTCTAGCTTCATGAGCCATTCTGAAACTTGTGAATTCTTGTTTCTAATCAGTCAACCTCATTTTTGATAGGCTACCTTTTTGGATGAAGGGGTCAGCATTGAGCATGCACGGCAGCATGGCCATACTCATTTATTTGAGGTTTGTGAAATGTTGAAATACTCATGCTAGGATATAAATCCATATGTTTCCAATAAGATGATGCAGCTGATGTCTTTCTAAAATTTATCTCATTAGATCCGTTGGGCATCAAGGTTCATCATACTTTCTTACCATCATCTCCACCAATGGATTTTTAGGGTTTTTAAGTATCTTTTTCTTTTTGTCTATTCTGCAGTAATGAATTGTTAAATCTGCAGATTATAGAGCATGCTGAGTGGATCCGGAACAAAGCCATTATGTTGACTCATTTCTCTTCTCGTTACCACATTGAGGTAATCAGCTTGAACTAAGTCCTTTATAATGAAGCTAGAACTAGGTGTTATGATCTTCCATAAAAATGGCAATGTTCATTATAACTTTGTTATCTTTAGCGTACAGTGTTTCAATTTTGCATTTTCAGGAGCTTCCTTCCCACCTTTTGATTGCCCATCCTAAAAAAAAAAAATCACCCATAACCCTAAATGGACAATCACCTGGGATGTTGAACATGCTAACCACTAGGAAGCACACACTCCTTTAGGGGTGCTGTAGCTGTGTCGGACACGTGCCTGACACGCATTGGACATGGTCTGACACGTGTTCGACACAGACACACATGGGACCTGACCGAGCATGTGTCCGTCATGGCTGAAAGTGTCTTGGAAGTTGAATGTTTTATTTTCTTGGTTGTACATGGGTGGGACACATCATAGTGGGGACACGGTGGGAACATGTTGGGGACACGACAGACACTTTCAGGTCCTGGTGGGGTAACTTTGCTTTCTAAACAAATTATGGGTTAATTAGAAAAATAGTAGTATTAAGTTAAGAAAACAAAAACATGTATATAGCTCTAAGCCGCAAATTAGTGATTATATTCATGATTATGTCGATAAAATGAGTAAAAATCATTTTTTGTTATAAATAATAATATGTATATGTTATATTGTTACTTCCCTGAAGAATCTTTGCAGTGTCCGTGTGTTTTTTGTTCTTTTATTTTTATTTTTTATTATAGTTTTGTCATATCACCACGTCTGTATCATATTGTACCCACTACCTGTGTCTATCCCCGCATCATAGGCTTTCATAAGCTAAAGATGAGTTTAGTAGGAATTTTATCCCACCTAACATGAAGGCTTGCTGCCTCATTCTATTCATTTATGGCTGCTTAAAGGGACCTTGTATAATCAGATGTCCAAAGGTATTTGGTTATCCCGATGATTTATTATGTGGAGGTTTCTTAGCAAGTCACAGTACCGCATATGAGGTGCGTAGAGAGGTTAAATAACTGGGTTGAAGGTTAAGGCAGAGTTTCTGTATGTATGTTTCTATTTTTTATAGAGTGCTTCAGATTGTGGTCACATCATACATGAATTTCGATGTAATGCATAACAACAGCCTAATGGATGGGCATAGGGATGGCAAATTCTCCATCCCCGCCAGGGCCCCGCCCCGTTTATAACGGGGATGGGGATCCTTTTAGCTAAACGGGGATGGGAATGGGGGCAAATTATGAATCCCCGCCGGGGGCCGGGGCCGGGGGCGGGGATAGGGTAAACCCATCCCGCCCCGATTAAGTGAGAGGTTACTAATATATCCTTACATATAATAATTTATTATATATATGAAAATAAGAAAAAATGTGCTTTTTTTTAATTAAAAAAATTATGAGGCCGGGGCCGGAGACGGGGATAAGGTGTCGGTGTCGGGGGCGGGGGCGGGGGCGGGGGCGGGGGCGGGTATGGGGATTCTGGCAAAATTTTAAACAGGGATGGGAGCGGGGATGGGGAATGAAAAATGCATCGGGGATGGGGATGGGGAATCCCCGCCCCACCCCGCCCCGTTGCCATCCCTAGATCATGGGCATATCAGATGACAATTCGAAACTCACTTGCTCGGCAGTACTCATTTAGCTAATACAAAATTATTTTATCTAGGGATAAGCCTTAGTTCTTCAGGGATCCCATAATGAGTTTCTCTTCAATTACTGCAGGACATTCGTCAAGCTGTATCAAAGCTACAGCCCAAGGTATCGGCCAAAGTGTTCGCTCTCACAGAAGGCTTTAAATCTATATACACACAATGAGGTTCTAGAGTTCTATTGTAGTTCATTTTGTTGGCCTCTGCCATCAGTTTTTTGTAACTAAAACATGTTTTCCATTAAAAATGTTGAATCTTCCAATGGCGTGTTTATCTATAGTTACTATGCAAAACCCTGTTATTTGTTCTTAGGCTCTCAATGAAGTCCTTTTTTCGTAAAGGTAATGCCATGGAAGTACCTTCAATTATCCTCATAAATTCAAGTGTTGTGCGATAGTTTGTTTTCAAACTGCTGCTGATTTAATCATTCTTGCTAGCTTTACCAGAAAATCTACCATGAAGAAGAGAATATACTGAAGGCCCATGGAAGGCATGCTTCAACAATATGATTTATCCAATGAGATTATTTCTTGAAACATAGGTGCACCAAACCAAATTCATAGCGACATTTTTATTCAATTTTCTGCTAACAGCTATTTTGTTTTCTGAGAACCAAAAGAGAGAATAGGTTGAAATTTCGGTTAGTCAATGGGTTTTTGAAGAATTGGGTTAAAAAAAAAGACCTGAATTTTAGATAACTATGCTTTGTCCCGCTCTATAAAATATTTTCTGTTTTTTTAGAGTTCTTAAAAAATGTATTCAAAAAATTGAATCAAACAAGCCTTGATATTTAGAACAAGTCACAAGTCACAACTGGTATAAATGATTGTCCTCTCATGAAAGCTTGCATTTCACAACATCAACATCCATACACGAGTCGAACCACAAGTCCAGAGAGAAGATACTGGACTCTGAAAAGGTGCAATAGGCATCCTTCATACTTTCATAAGAAAATATATATAATTAACTTTATTATTACAATCGCATTTTACAATAATGGCAGCTCAAGCCACATCAAAAAGATGCATTGCAAATTATTCAATGTAAATGCTTGTCCACTCATGTGGTCGAGTATGTAAGAAAGTATGGTCTCCATCTTTGAGAGGTTTCATCAAAATTACATTGTACCTCACATGAAAGTAACAAAAATTCACCTAGTGCCGGAATAATTTCTCCTATGACATTGCTCATCTGGAAAGCTCTCTTCTAACAAGCTAAATACATCAAAGTTTCTAATTCAAATAAATGAGTTTTCCATTTTAAACTACTCAAATTAAAAAACATAAAACAATTGAATTATGAAAAGAAAGTAAAACTGCAAGTGGTGATCATCTCACTTGTTAGTTTACTAGCATCCTTTCTGAAAACTTCAATTCGAAGGCAATGGATAGTTATATAACCCTCGAAAAGGACATCCCTTCGAGGACGTAACTGTCCATCAGTTTAAGCAGCGGAGGTGAACAGCAAGGATGCATTTGTTCCTCCAAAGCCAAAAGAGTTTGACAGGGCCGCTTTAATTGGCATCTCCTTCGAAGCAGTCAAAGGCATGAAACTGTTACTAAAAACGGGATCTGGTTTAGTGAGATTAAGTGTCAAAGGAGCAATTCCCTGTAATGACACAATAAACCGACAATTAGGTCATTGAAGCAAACTTTTTAGAAGTTACATATGGCGACTTTTGAAAGAAGTTGTGAACACAGACTGAAGAGTAGTAGTAATCAGTTGTCATTTAAGATTGATAGCTGTCAATTAAGAAGATGAAACTCATGGATGCAAAGTTCTTCTGAGAACACATCAAAATCTTTGTCAATCCAAGTCCATGCTCATGTTGGCATTCTCAGTATGCTTTTAAATTAATATTGCAGTCTAATAAATAATTTGTTAGGTAAGAGGTAATTTCACTATGCTCATATATATATTCAAAGTGACTCAACCAAAAAAGAAGATTCCATCAAACACGTATAAATGCGGAGTGAAATTTGAGAGCTTGAGAAAATTTCATCATTAAAAGAGAAATTTCTTCACACCACAATAACAGGAGGGAATTCCAGCAGGTATGACAGAACAAAGGGATATCCCTTACGTGGTGTATGGCTAGAACTGCAAAAATTGCTTCCACCGCTCCAGATGCTCCAAGAAGATGACCAATAGCACCCTAAACCATAAACCATAATCATAATTACAAAAAATCAACAATCAACTTATTTTAGAAAATAAATTAGGGACAAACAAAAGCATTCTGCATCTCCTTAAGAGAAATTCCAAAAATTTTATGAATCCTTTTTTCTAAAATTTCTTTCAGACATGTTTTTCTTTTACTCTCTTCGATATATTTTGTTACCCAAATCATTACTAAATTAACTTCTAAAATCTCTCTCCACAATATTTCTCACGTAGAAATTTCTTTTTAAGCTCTCCCTTCTCCCATGATCATAACTTAGTTTCTTCAAAATCTCCCTCATAAGGTCTCTCCTTATTGTGGTTTCAATTAATTGACTTAGACAACAAGCATCCATATCTATGAAACATTTTTTACTAAGATATCATCAAAAAGGCATACCTCTTGAATCAGTATACATATATATGAAACAACACACTTGTAACATATTTACTATTCTTTTAACTTTACAAATCCTTTCTTATCTACTTTTTATATATCTTCGGGAAAGTGCATTTATCTTTGAACCAGTGATCAATGAAGTTTTTGGGGATAAACTTTAACAATAAAGCAGTCGCTTTACAATTCTTTTCCATGATAAGTACAATGAAAAATAATGTGTTACTTTTAATTATATAAATGATTCTGTTTGAAATAGCTTATATCCACCATTTGACTATTTTAATTCTATTTGAATGTTACCGTTAAACTTTATTTCTATTTTCATTTAATTAAAATCGCCAAATTCTTATACCCACCATTTCTATTTTCATTTAAATGTTGCATCCATTCTAATTTTATTTCATTTTCAAAGTCATGTTTGATGATCTAAGCTGTATGAGCCATAAGCTAAATACTTTCTACTCACAAACACATCCACATTTACCTTCGTGGATGACAAGGCCAAACCACCTGATGCTGCATGCTCAGAGAATACAGATTTGATAGCGTTGGCTTCTACCATGTCACCTGAATAAGAAGTTTCAGAAACTTGAGCCAAATTCACTCCAATTTCAGCACACGCTAGCACTACTGATTCCAGCAACCCAAACCATTACAATGCAACTTATAAAGTTCAAAATGGTTTACCTAAAGGAGTAGATGTAGCATGGGCATTTATGTAATCCACTTGAGTTGGATGAAGACCGGACTGCAAAACACAGGGAAAAAGAGAAACATATGTTATGAAACAACAACCATGTCCATGTGCAAATTGAAATCTGAAAATGAAAACTATCTGCAAGATGTTTTAATGGCTAGTGGACTGAAACCATAGACAAGGCACCATCTACCGATGTCAAAATATGAAGAAAATAAATAGGTAAATGGAGCGAGACTAACTTTTTGAAAGAAAAAAAAAAAAGGTGCGAGACTGCATCTAATTGCTGACAAGTTAAGCCATGTAATCATCAGAAAAAAAAAGGTGCGTGCCAGTTTATTTTCTTCTTTTTTAATATTCTTAGGCACAACAAATTGCATAAAACCAGAAAAGTTCAAGGTTCAGATGGTCAAAATTATCTCCTGTTGACATTTTTTGCGGCAGCCAGTGACAGACCCAGAAACTTTATTGAGAGGGGGTGCCATTGAAGTTTTTTCATAATTTCAGTGGGGGCATTGTCAAAATTTAACAAAATTTATAGGTACATAATGCAAAAAAAAAAAAATCAGTGGGGGCAACTGCCCCCACTGGTCTCTCCATGGGTCCATGCCTGGAGGCAGCATGTAAAAGTCTGAATTGTCACCAAGTATACAACACCCAAGATAGGTGCTACTACAACCTAAACATAATCAAATTACATATTAACCTAGAAGACCGTGTACCCCGAAATATAATAAATTCATCTGAGATACACCTGCAAATCAGGTAAAAGGATGTGCAAATAGTGTAGGAAACATGATATGATCAGTGTAAGATGGATAAACAGTCAAAACACCAATGTGAGTTTATGACCTGCTTTAAAGCACGTGTCATGGCCAAAACGGCACCTCTTCCATCAGTATGTGGTTGAGTAATGTGATATGCATCACCTAATCAGCACCACCAAATTAGAAATCAATAAGAAAAGCTAAAGCATTAGTAAGAAAACAGTTGCAGTAATATGTAATTTAAAAAACAGACCTGACATCCCGTAACCACGAATTTCTGCATAAATTTTTGCTCCTCTCTTTTTTGCATGCTCCAGTTCCTTAAAATCCAAAAAAGGAAGAGAAAGTAAAAGAGTAAGGAAGATTAGTCTAAAAAGGATGTGTTGTTGAGGCATTTAGAAATCCAGCCAGACTCAATGCTAGTTAATGGAGTTCTCTCTACTTCTTTAACTGATATTCCACTTTGACATTAAATTTAGTTTTTACCACAATGCACTTGTCAATCTGTAATCATATGTATCAAAATATCTTACACATACGAACACTGCAATCTTTGGATTTACAATAGTACATGACTAGGTGTAACAGTAATGCTACTTTCCATCATTTAATTGGTGAAATTTCTAGCATAAAGCTTAATTAAGCTGGCAAGAATAAAGCCAATATAAGAAAGTAACCAGTAGACATTGTGGCGGAAGCTTTCCGTCATAGATACAACAAAAAGCAAGATTCCTGTGGGGGTCACCACTGAAACACCTATTCTGTATATGTGGCCCAACTTTAGTGCTAGGCAGCTCTACCTCTGATCTCACTCATGTAAAAAATCAGCCAATATGGCATCATGGCCATTTACAAAAAAAAAATGATTTTTAATTTATGGGAAGATTAGGTAATGGACAAGCTTCAGAAGGCAGGTATGAATATGTGTCATGTATCAGCCAATGGTAACATATGCCAAAATGCCCATACATCGAACATTCATGACATGCTCTGCCATTAGCACGGTACATGATTTTAACCAAAAAGGTTGAATAACCAACATGCACAGTTAGGAAATTATAGGACAAAAATGGTACAGGACATTTAACTTCCATGCAATTTTAATTGAAATATAGAATATATAGATCGAAATAGTTTCCCAAAAGTCTAAAACATGTCTAAGCTCACCTCCAACACCAAGATACCAGAGCCTTCACCGATCCTGAATTTTAAATGTGTTAGATTGATGACAGGGAATTACACCAAAACAAATTAAGAATAATATATGTAAATTCATCATGTTACAAAAATTTCCATACACAAATCCATCTCGACCAGAATCAAAAGGTCTTGAGGCTTCTTGAGGGGATGAATTGTACTTTGTAGTCAAAGCTCTTGACCTGTATATTAAAACAATTGGCTGTCAACATACAAGTTCAATAGAGGCAAACAAAATAAGATAAACTAATCATTCACATATTGCTCGACTAAATCTCAATTGTTGGACATTGTTTCCCTTTTGGAGTTTCTCCCCTAATCAATTTTTAGTATTTCTCCAGATAATAACATACATTAACAATAACAACACGGAAGAACCAGATCAACCTTTATTCATGCTAATCTTATAAGTACTATATACATATAGACATATATGTGTGTGTGTGCCTATTGGTAAACAAGTAGGTGAGAGAGAGAGAGTCAGATACACCAGGTGGCACCTTAGTGCACAAGCAAGGTGCTAGTAGTTCAGAGGCTGCCTAATGTGCAAAATCACACAGTTGACCAAGTCAAAGTCAACTGACTATATGAAGTTTTAAATTTTCGACATACATTCTCATTATGCACAGGCCTTTTCCCATACCATGTGATTCCCCATTTCACATACAAAAATTATCATTCAATGCTCATAGCACAAAGTTCCGTTCTTTATTGGCTTGCCTAGGGATCAGAGATTTGCCACACTATCCACCAGTGCCTCAAAATTTCAGTACAGTTTGGTGCTGCCAAAGGTTAGTAGGCCAAACTAGACTATATGAGGAAGTGATCTATGTATGTCATTTATTAGGGACATAGATAAGGATTGTGGATGAGGGCATATAGGTAGCGATTTTGAATATGATTGTAAATTTGTACCATATGCTTTCTATAACCCACCAATGTGTATGCAATTCCAACAAAGATAAAGCTCAAGAATGAATCAAATTATTAAGACCCAGATGCCCCCCATTCTTTCAAAATATTGCTCCTTTAAGAAACACATTTGAGAATTTAATGGTCACAAAGATACTGAAAATGAACCTGGGACCCATCCAGCCCAAAAGGGTCCCCACCACTTTTTAAATGACAGATTAACACTATTAAGCACATGCAAGAGACATCTCTGAGTTGTCCATTGAAAAGGCACCCAAAAGCATTATTTAGCAATGTTGCTTCGCAGATTAAGTATCTATTTTCTTTTCCTTTTAGGCTTTTACCAATGAAGAAAATGGCAAGAGCACAACTTAGTCAAGAGGTAGAACTGTAGAAGGTAACAAAGCATATAAGTTGGTTGATGAGAAGTACCTACAAAATCCTGCTATAGATAAAGCATCGATGCTGGACTCTGTTCCTCCAGCCACCATAACATCAGCATCTCCAAATTGAATCATCCTGGCAGCATCACCAACTGAATGTGCACCCGTTGCACAAGCTGTCACTGCAGCATGGTTTGGTCCCTAGATTCAAAATCAAGACTAGAAAATGCAACTAATCTTATAATTAAAGGATAATGATGAGAACATCCCTTAATCAGGAAAAATGATATGGATACAGAAACTGAAGCAGTGAATGATGCATGACAAGTCAAAAGCTTAATGGGCACCAGAATGTTCAAGTCCTGGAGTTGGGGTTGGGTACTTGAGTTGGGATTATGGGGAGAAGAAGTGCTACTCCAGTTGTGTTTTCCATGCCATTAGACAGAAAAAAGAGTACTATTCTACTGTTCATTCCATCTTAATGAACACCATATTGATTTGTATAGCTAACTCCAACTGATATCCATCTCAAACAGTTAATTTTTCCAAAATAATCTGACTATTGAGCTACAACCGCTAGATTGAATGTTGAAAATCTTGCATGAGATATCAATGATATCTCAAATATCGGGTGTGGTCGAGACATGAATAAGGTGGGTTTTGGATGCTCATGTTCTTGGTCAAAATGTTGTGCTTTTGAACTTATCAATCATCTTGTCATCCAAGTTGATATGTTGAGCTGTTTCATATTTAAATGCAGAATTCAGTATTGCTATTTTTGAGATACTTCTACACATATCACTTCGTATTAACGAAATTATAAAATGTCCTTTCTGTTGAAGGATTTAAATATTTAAGTTACACCCTCTCTAATAGCTTAAGCTTTTGGAGTAGATGGTTGTTACCATGGTATTAGAGCCAAATGTCTCGAGTTCAAACGCACCGTCACCCTAATTAAAAATTGAAAAACACGTGTTGGACCAAAAAGAAGGCCACACGTGAGGGGGCATGTTGAAGGATTTAAATATTTAAGTTACAAGCTCTCTAATAGCTTAAGCTTTTGGAGTAGATGGTTGTTAACACTTTTGACTTCCCTTGGATTTTGAGAAATGATAGGACCTTCTCTCTTCCAACAATTACATACCTATACTACAGAAAATAACAATTAAACACTACTAATAATTTTGTTGTCCTCTTTTTTCCCCAATTTTGAAGAAAGAAGAAAGGCATCAATGTATAGCTTCGTTTCTGTCCTATACTCCTATTGACAAGTTCTTTTATATTATTACCTAACCAAGTACCATTAAGAGGTGAAAGATGAGAAAATATGACAATATTCTTTATAATTTAGGATCCCAACCACTAATCTCAAATCTCAACTCCACAGAACGAAATAGTAATTCGGATCCCAAAAGACAAAAAGAATATTCCAACTGCCATTCTACCTATCATTTTATATGGTTACTTAAGTATGAATGTCATTTTATTGACTAATAATGTTCAATATGTCTACTACGTGACATATGTTTCTCGCACCTTATATTTTATATAATTGGTAAATATTTTTTATTTTTTGATAAGTAAGATTTTATTAAAAACGCTCAAAAAGGGGAGCGAAACCCAAAGGAACAAAAGGAACACAAGGGCCAGAGGGCGCCTTAGACCTTCAGAGAGGCCAAAAAAACAATAATTTCCTCCACAGATCTATAATATCTCCCTGAAACCCAACAAAAAAGAGTAGAAATAACATATAACTTAAGCATAGAAACAGGCTTCTTTTCCCGTCAAAATATCTCCTATTTCTCTCAAGCCAAATATTTTTTATTTTTAATATTATTGCTCGAATATATTCACTATAGTCCAATTGAATTTTCCAAAGTTCTATAAACAAAATTGATGTTTTGATACTAATTTTATTTGTTTTTTGTAACAATTTTGATATTTCAGTATTTCCATCAAAATTTATTTTGAAACCTCAATAGTCGAGATGTTTTATTCCTTGACTGCAACCAGTATGAAGATGAATTACCAGACAAGAAATCCTAATCAGTGTGCTGAAGGCCACATGAGAAATCAAATAGAATGTAAGGCCATCTGTCCTCATAAGCCCTCATATAGATCCCTTCAATTAGAATACAAAAAAAATATATATATATATATACATACATAATATATCAGAGATGTTATCTACGCACCTTGAATCCATATTTTATGCTTGCATGACCAGCTGCCATATTGATCAAAATCCGTGGGATGAAAAATGGACTAAGCCGACGAATGCGCTGGGTCAGGAAAGTAGACAACTGTCATTTATTCATGATAGATTGTTTTGAGAGCCTTACAGGTCATTCAGAGTCATCCATAAAACTGACCAAGAGGGGGAAAGAATGATATCTAAGATGTTCCGCTAGGTAGAATGAACCAACCTTCTCACAAATCAATTGTGATGCATCCAACATATCACTAACGCTTCCAGTTCCCCCACCAATGGAAACCCCCTGATGAATCTCAAGTTAGAAAATGTACCACCAAAGAACAAAGAAATGACATCTCCACTTTGAATCATTACCGTCATTTCCTTCTCGTCCTGCTCAGTGGGTGCCCAATTGGCATCTCTGAGAGCTTCATCAGTGGCACATAGTGCATAGGCTATAAACCTTGCCATTGATCTATGCTCCTGAAAAGCACAGATTTTACAATAAAGTACCACAATAAAATCATAATAGAACAAAAGAAGCTCTTGCATGAACTTGTGGACAGAGAGGTATTAATTCTTTTGATATGAAATTCAGAAAATATTAAAAGAAAAAAAGAGTGCAATTTGTGGAGGATGAAAGATCCTTCTCAATATAAGTTTTGTTTTTTTTTTTGTTTTCCCGGTAATTAACAGAAAGCCAACATTCTCCAAGAGAACTCGAAGCAAATAAAAATGACCCCTCAATGTCAACAAGGAAGCGTCCTTTTAGCCAAACCCATCACATTAGGGCCCCAAAACACAATCCCAAGTCTGAGTGCGTATTGTTCTTCATAATCAAATGGGCAACAAGAAGAAAAGAGAAACAAAAATCGCCAATCATCATAAGCAAACAGCTGCAGAATTAGTTGAAAAGAAAGGAAGCAAAATGGAACAAAACAATGAAAGCAACTGCTAATTAAGATGTCATTGTCATGATATTAAGCACATCAAGACAGTGCTCCTTTTTCACTCACAACCTCTTTTCCGACAAAATACCCCAACCCAACCTCTAGCTCCCAGGTCTACCCAGTCAACAAACCTTCCTCCCCACAAGACCCCCATAATTTCCTTTGCAACAACCTCCATTCTGTTCCTGCAAGTAGACAATGGTCTCTTGCCACTCTTTCAAAAACCGCCTTCACTACTGCTCTTTATCTGGTCCACTCGATGCCTATCCATTCCTCCCTTTCTTTGTATAAGAACTCCCACTCCCCTTTCCTCCCCTACTCTTTAAACTCTTTTACGACACCATTAAGAAACTATTCAAGCTTTCCCAGTCGCCTCTATTTCCAAATTCAAAAACCATCATAGCTCAACATGTGCCATTAAAGATTTCCCATTAACCCCCAAAAATATATATAGAATGCAAATACAGGGCATCAATCAGAACTGAAATTGTACAATTGAAAAAAAAAAAAAAAAAAAAACTTTTACCTTGGAATTAAGCCATAATTCTTCATTGAATTCACCAGGGCTGTTACCACAAGGAACAGTCGCAGCAACTTTTGAAGTGAGCTGATCAAATGTATACAACTGCGTTTCTCTATCAAATCCATTCATCTTGAGATCGTCAGGAGACAATGCCCTAATTGCACATTCCCCCTCTATCACACGCTTCCATGTAGTTTCCACGCCGCAACCAAGCGGTGTGACCATGCCTAGACCTGCAAAACAACTCAAAACCACAAAAATCAACACAATTCGAGAATCAATATGACAAAAGCATCTTCTTATACAGTTAAATATACGGATAGACACAGAGACATATGAGAAGTAGATGGAATGCAATTGAAGTTGAAAATTGAAGCATAAAAAAAGTGAACCATACATGAACATACGTACTAAACACACACATACATGTGTGCGCGCTTATATGTGTGTGTGTGCGCTCGCATAAGAAAATATAGAGAAAGGGATAGGGGTACCGGTGACGACAACCCTACGATGAGGTAAGACTGGAGGAGGGTCGAAGAGTTGAAATCCAGAGGAAGAAGAAGAAGAAATGAAACGATTGAGTTGGAAACGAGAAGAGAAGAGTCGAGAAAAAGAGCGCCTCGCCATCACTTCACTTGGAAACCCTAGCAATGGCCTAAGCTCCTCTTTGGCCGTTCATCAATGTTTGGATTCAGCTACAGAGTTCACTGTGAAATCACGTTCGTTTTTTGTTTGATTTGAAAAGTGAAACAAAGAACGAAAGCACAAGTCCAACAAGTTTTAGGCTTTTAGCTGTTTTGAGTCTTTCCTCCCTCTCGACTGCTTGCTTGAATGAGTTTGAATAATATTGTTAAATAAAGGGTTAATTACAACGATACCTCTAAAGTTTGACATATTAACTGTCATATATAACTTAGCCATTTTTTAAACAAAGACACCTCCTGTGAGAATTTTAATCCAAACAAACCCTTAAAACGATAGAAAAGACGAGATTGCCCTTCAATATTTAATTCTTTTTAATAATAAAATATCAGAATTCATGAAAAGTCAAATTTGCCCTTATATATATACGCTATTACATCCGCACCATCATATATAAATAAATAAATATATATATATATATAACCTAGTCTAACAAAAAATCTGTTGGGAAACGTGCAAGTTTTAAAAACTTTTCGAGGGATTTTGATTCATAAATCTTGATTCATCACATAGAGACAAGTTTTATGCAAAAATAAAAATATGATGTACCATTCAATTAATGGATTGAATACTTACATCAAAGGTCTGAGTAAACCTTTAAAACTTTCCTCTAAAGTGAATGTTCTCACTTATTGTAGATCCCTTAGCAAGATGCCTTCTACTTGAATCTCCATCTTCTTGGTAATTATTTTGCCTTTAGGAATCACTCATAAGCCTCCATGAATTACCTTAGAAAACTAGGCTTGTGGGAGCCTCTATTAGATGAGAACATAAACCCTAATTTTCTAGAGAGAGAAAATTTATTCCTTTTTCCTTCTCATAAAAATCACCCCTAAAATATACATAGACCATGTATATTTATATACATAGACATAAAGGTAAAGAAAAGGAAACAACTAATCCTTCTCAATCTCTAATTCACATGTCTCAAATCTAATATGATTCCAATATCAAGTTGGGCTATGAGTGAGAATCCATTGGGCCTGTTATTTTATTGGCTACAATGAATTAATGATTGGCCCGGTCCATGGACCCAATTAAATTAATTCATAAATTAATTTCTACTCCACTAAAAGAAATTAATTGAACTCCAATTAAATAATAAATAACCTCTAAGTCAATGTTGCACTTTGACCCCTCTATGCATAATTAGTTATCGGATAAATAATGCCATCAATCCGACTACTTAATTAATATATTTATTTTGGTACCTTTGATTATTTCTGGCTCGATCACAATAAAACATTTGTTTGACAAAAATAATAATTTAATAAATAAATATATAATAAATCATTTTGTCTAAAATTATACGAAGGCCTTCGAATTTACTTTGTGATCAACCATAATCAATACAAAATAAATACAAGTAGCAATGATGCAAATATTGAAAATATAACCCTCTAACTATTAATTACGTAACTACCCGAAGTGTCGGTCTAAGGATCCCGAAGAATCCGCCGAACAAATCAAAGTAATTATTAATTAATAAAAGAGTCTATACTTTTCTCATGCTTAAGAGTCAAATGCCATGACGGTGATAGGGAGTAATTGCATACGACGGCTCTCGCAATATATCTCAACCTAACGCGGATCCAGTTCAAGTCTTAATTAATTATGAGTCCATCCATAATTACCGACTATGAACAATTTATAATTACTATTTATATATCATGCATTGATTGCCATCACATACATATACATAAATATTTCTTGTAATTACATGAACACTATCAATTTCATAGTGAATCGAAATATAATACATTGAATTCACCAATTGTATAAAACATAAATATTTCAGAAACGTCAGGAACATATGTCAATTAATCCAAACAGGAATTTGCTATGCCAGGGCATATAAATCCCAACAGCTCCCACTTGCCCTCATAGCCAATTCAAATTGCACCTAACTCCAATGTTATCCAGATGATGATCAAAATTATTGATCAATGACACCTTTGATAATGGATCAACAAAGTTGTGTTCCAATGCAATGTTCTAGCTACAAGTACATTTTCTTACCGGATAATATCATGTAGAACATGATACTTCCTATCAGTGTATTTTGTTCATCTATGGAACCTTGGGTCATTGGTTTGGACTACTTCTGCACTATTGTCGCAATATAGCTCGATAGGCAGGCTAGTATGCTCCACAACCTCTAAATCAGTGAGATCAAACCAATAGGCTTATATTGCCACCTTTAAGGCTGCAATATATTCCACCTGCAGGTTTGAGTCAACAGTTGAAATCTGCTTGACAATTTACCAACTGATTTCCCTTCCATTAAGTGAACATACACTAAGTCATGAACCTCATAGTATCTACTTCTGATTGAAAATCAGAACTAGCATACCTGACTAGGACCATATCATCACATCCATAAATGAGTATGATATCATTGATTCTCCTTAGGTACTTAATGATATTTTTCACAATAGACCAGTTGTCAAGTCCAATATTGGACTGATCTCTACTGACTATCCCTACTATGTAGCGGATGTCCTGTTTGGTATAGACCATGGCATATATGAGACTCTCATATGCCGAAACATATTGTTCCAGTCTCATTTGCTCAATCTCCTCTGCTACTCTTGAAAAACTACTTACTAGAGAGAGCGATCCATATCAATAAAGTAAGAACTCATTCTTTGAGTTATGCATACCAAACCTGGTCAAAACTTTATCAATGTAGGATTATTAAGATAAGCCTATTTTCCTTTTAACCTGATCTTGCAAAAGCTTGATCCTAGGAATATAGCTTACATCTTGAAAATCCTTCATTTAAAAGTAATTGAACAATTACCTTTTAATTGATGACAAAACTTCCACGTCATTATAAATGAGTAGGATGTCATCAATATATAGAATTAAGAAAAATAATGACATTCCCTTGTACACTCATGATTTATTCACTAAGAAATCTTCTGGTATCTTTTTGTAGATTAACTTGCCTTCCATAGGAATCACCCTACTAGAAAGTTCTACATGATCCCAGAATTTATTAGAATACATAGATTCCAACTCTGATTTCATAGTAACTCACCAAAACGATCTGTATCCACATCGGTTCACGCTTCCGTGTAGCTTACTGGGTCCAACTCATGTTTAACAGGGATGTCCATAATGGTCTCACCTAAAAACATGATTCTGTCGAATTGGATGATAATCCTCCCACTACATCAATGTACCGATGCAAGAATCTGTGTAGTAGATGATGCTAACGCATCAATAGGGAATTCATATATTATTATCAATCTCTATAATAAGTGTGTTCACATGTGGTACATCTGGTACTCAAACCAAATTCTCTAACATTATGCTACTAGGTATGTGATTCATAATATGATTCTCCTATAGATAAACAGTGAGTGAAAACAACCAACTTTTATCTTTGAGATCATAAAATAATCCATCCTAGTGACATTTAGAGTAGCTATCAAATCTAGCATGCCTATGATCTGATTCCAACTTACTTGTCCATATCAAACGCACGTGTGCAAGACTACCCCATATGTGCATATGATTCAAACTAATATTTAGTCAAAAACACAGCTCAACGGTATCCTTGAGACAGACTAAGATGGAATGCAGTTCATAATGCGCATCGATGTCATTAACGCTAAACTCTTAAATGAAAGAGATAATGTGGCATTACTGATCATAGATCTAACCATGTTAAGTGGAATTCTGTTATTCCTATTTGACACCTAAATTAATTTAGCGTCAATTGCGGAAAACTGGTACACAACACCCTCATTGACCATATAGTCTTTGCACTATCCCAAGAAATACTCAAATACTCGATCAGATCGAAGTGTCTTGATAAGTTTACCTAATATGTGCTCCACATCAGTCTTGACCCTCTTGGAATATACCAAAAGTATAAGACTTGTGTCGCAACAGGTAAATTTATCCAAAACGTGAGTAATCTTGATTGGATGTTCATAAGATTACACGTGTACGTGTGTACCGACTCCAATTGTTCTTTATGTCTATTTCATTTGGCTGATTAAGCCCTTAGAGTTATCTATCCTTCAAAACAAGATTCACAAGTTTGGTTTAGGCTCCTCTGCCTCACTAGGTAATAAACCTTCTATAACCAATCTTTAAATCTCATTTTGATTGATTACAACCCAAAAATAGACACCAAAAATACAATGAGTCAGGAATAACAAATTTTCTCTTAACATTCAATCTAGAAGATGCAACATTAGTTTCTACATCCTGCAAATCTTAAGAGCTTGTGATTATAGTATATTAACCATCTTTCAATGCACCAGAAGCAATCACATATCTATTCAATTTTATAAAACCAGTTTTACAAAATAACGATCTAGTTTTTATAAGCCAAAAGTGAAATAAGAATGAGATTGCGTTTCACTTCTGTGCATAAAGATAGTTCTCTAATACTAATATCCTCATACTCTCTAATTTCAGATGTAATACTCCCACTGACTTAGCTACAACCTTGACATCAGGTTAAGTACAAATATATTCCATATCATCGAGGCTTCTGGAATCCTGAAATCCTTACAATAAATTGCAAACATGTTTAGTGGCTCCAGAATCTATCCATCAGGAATTAATAGACACAACCACATAACATGGCTCAATGATTAAATATATATTTTCCTATGCCACGTCATTGCTTAAACAGTTCGTCCTTTAGTGTTTTAGTTAGCGACAAAAGAAACAGTTTTCTTCGCCCTCAACATACACTGCCTTATTCCCTTTAACCTTTTTGAATACCCATGTTTTGTGCTAGTCTAGTCCTATTATCATCCTTCTTCTTTGCTTTGCCCGTCCACTTGGGCCTAGAAGAAGATGGTTTAGACTAGGTTAGATTGATAGGAACGCCCATACTCTTGATTATCCCTTCATCTGTTACCAATTCTATAAGAATATCAGCGAGTGTGAACTCAAACTGATTCCTTATTTAGTTCACTCTAACAGAGTCGAATGAGTTTGGTAACAAGACAATAATCATGTCAACTTGAAACTTACCACCCAAGTCAGCCTTATTGATCTCCAGCTAATATTTAAATAATAAACAATCATTTTCCAAAATTTAATTTCAAACTGGAGTTCATGAGGCTATCTTGATGGTATTTAAATTTGACACAGTACTTA